CGGTTATCTCTCTTGCTTGTACACTTTTTTCGACCACATCTTTTCCTTCCCTTCGCCTCTCTATTAATGTGCTTGGACACTGAGCTCTGTGAACAGCCTGCCTCTTTAGCGATGACCTTTTGTGTCTTGCCCTCCTTGTGCAAGGTGTCGATGGTCGTCTTTTGGACAACTGTCAAGTCAGCAGTCTTCCCCATGATTGTGTAGCCTATAGAACTAGACTGAAAGACCATTTAAAGGCTTTTGCAGGTGGTTTGAGTTAATTAGCTGATTAGAGTGTGGCACCAGGGGCCATCAATTTTGAACCTTTTCACAATATTCTAATTTTCTGATATGATGAATTTGAGATTTTCATTTGTTGTCATTTGTAATCATCAAAATTAAACAAAATAAACATCTGAAATATATGAGTTTGTATGTAATGTATGAATATAATATACAAGTTTCACTTTTTAAATGGAATTACTGAAATCAATCTACTTTTTCATGATATTCTAATTTTATGACCAGCACCTGTAATGCTCTACAATAGGGTCGTCTCACCTGGTGTTCTTCTCTTGTCACATTTGGAACATCCACATTATGAGTAGAAGGGCCGATATCCTCAAGTTTCCTATGAGTAAAGATATCCATTGCAACAAGATTCACCTGAAAATTGTATTTATCCATTAAGATATTGCTTCCAGAAATAAAATATTTGGATGTTAGTATAAATAGTGAGAAAAATAACTAATAAAACAGCTAATTTCATCTAGCTCAGAACACAGATGCTTGCAATAGAAGGTTGTACCTTGGCATGCCCATGCTTTCCACTCTTCGAAGTAGAAATTTCCAAAAATCTGACAAGGACGTCCTTTTATCATAATAAAGCCGTTCTTCCTCAGTGCAGAGTACTGTACTGGGTACGTAGCAGAGGCTCCAGCATCTGCCGTGGAGAAGTCATCATCTAACATGGTGAGCCCCGAGCTGCTTCATATACAAATGCAAAGCAAATAAGAAAAGGTTATAAAAAGTGTGAAAGAGAAAAAAAAACATTTATTTATGGTTACTGCAATTGCTAAAATAAAAAAATTTTTAAGAACAATCTGCACACATTAATTTTCATCGGGTAACTTATGCTTAGCAGTTAACATTCTATACTAGCACTGACAAATGGTAAAAGGAGTAAGATGTTAGCTGCCTTTTTTGCGACCATATATATGTACTGGACAATGAAGGTAGGATAAGGAATGACTGCCTTCTTTGCAAACCAAAATTGTTAGCTGTAGTTTTGACGTGTCCTGTTTGGTGGAGGAAGCAACTTCACATAGATGGATTCAAACAAATCAGACTTAATAATGGCTGTCGAGAAGACAGCCAGAGACTTCAGTGGAATGTTGTACTTCTTGAGTTGCCATTGGAGGAACAGTTTTTGCCTTAGGTGTAAGGCTGAGAGGCAATCAGTGCCCTAAAAAGCTAAACAACGGCCAATGAAAGAACCAGCACAAAAGGCAGGGATTTCAGTAAAATCCCAAGACTTGGTCATGAAAATGTTATTAATTACAAAAAGACAAGAGAGGGCAGTTGTCTATTTTACATGATCTATGCAAATTTCAGCATGCGAGGGCCAGCCCTCCTTACAATACATTTTTAAAAACAATCTGCACACATTAATTTTCCTCGGGTAACTTATGCATCTCAGGAATATAGAAGGCTATACTAGAGCAAGACCAATAAACACTACAAGAAGAAATATTAGAAAAGGAGAACCCTCAGAAAACCTGGATCTTTAATACAGTAAGAAAGTGGGCCAGTAGGAGTGTTGGAGGAAGCAACTTCACATTGATGGATGCAAACAAATCAGACTTAATAATAGCTGTCGAAAAGACAGCCAGAGACTTCAGTGGAATGTTGTACTCCTTGAGTTGCCATTGGAGGAACAGTTGTTGCCTTAGGTGTAAGGCTGAGAGGCAGTCAGTGCCCTAAAAAGCAAAACAACGGCCAATGAAAGAACCAGCACAAAAGGCAGCGATTTCAGTAAAATCCCAAGACTTGATCTATGCCCTCCTTAAATCATAGGAATAACTCAAGGAGCTTAAGAAGTAATATAATGTCAACTACCTAAATGATGAATGCAGTATATATAGCCCTTCCTTGTCATGCACATCCTTGTGACGGTTGGCATATGGTGTAATTTTCTATTTCTTCAAACTGCAAATCATGGCAAATAACTAAATTATAATAAAACTAAAACCAAACTATGATGTTCCTCTTATATTTGGCAAATTTATGTATGAATATTTTGCAAAAACATGTTGCGGCGCTTGACGGGGTTTTGCATCTAAAGGCTAACGTTTCCGATCTGCTTGAAGATAGATGGGTTTAATCCAAAATGTGTATTCGTATTGTGTTTTACATTTGAGACACAGGCGTTTCACTCTGCTTCTATTTTTAAATTTTTTTAATGTCAGCCACAGAGCTATTGAGCCACTCACGGCTCTACAGCTGCAGGTTGCAAAAAGACATCTGGTCTAAGCAGATGAAATCTTTCATCACATCTTAGCTAAAAGTGCAGGATCTTAATCTTATATCTATACTTCACAAAAACTGTAAAGGTAAAAAATAAAGCTGGTTACATTTTCTGAGCCAGCAAATATCATCACAGTGTATTGTATTTAATAATAGGCCTTCAATACAGGAGGCAAGGGCCAGTTCTAAAGGGGCAATGTCCCCCTGTTGGCCCCTGTCTAGTACTACTGACTGTTGACCAGCAGTCACTGAGAGCCTACTTGGGAAAGGTAGGGCACCAAAGATTATTGCTAAAGAAACAGTAACTAAGTATATTCACGGAGAGTAAGGTGAAAGGAAAAAGTGTTTTCTATTTAAAAAAGAAAAGGTGAACATTCGTACAAAGAAAATCCCTTTAAAGACTTGGGGAGATTCATCAAATGTGTGTCAAAAGCCACTACTCAGGTCTGTACACAAGGCACAACCACCTAATCTTTGATCAAGTTTTAAACCGCATACAGATTCAGAAACATCTTACCTTTTAGGGAAATTTTTTTTTACATTTATTTAAATAGTAAGATACAGTTTACATTTACCACTCCCCCGGCGCCACACAGCGGCAGCCCACTGCTCCCCAAGGGGATGGGTTACTGCAAAGAGGGAATTTCTCCAGTGTGAGATCAATAAAGTTCAATAATTATCAATTAATCAACATAATTTTCATACAGCCCATTCTGCCAAAAATTCACAACCTGTTTTATTGGTTTTTATATCAAAAGCATTTTAAGTCACCAACTTAGTCTTAACTCTCAACTTTCCATAATGATTGAAACTATAGAAATACACACTTGACAATATGTAGGTTAAAGTTTCAAATATTTTATTAGTATTATCTGATTATTTTACTTATTGAACTATAAAATTACAGCAAATCAAATGTAAATACTACTTTTTATCACAATCACAATTTTCACAACAGCCAGACAGCAAAATATTGGAAAATTACAACTTTTAACATCGTTTTCCTTTTTATATAACATTGAAGATGACAAAAATGCATCACATAAAAGTAATATTTTTGCAGGACAAAAAAGCACATTTTCTTCTAATATTGATGTCGCATTCCACTATTTTCAAATCTTCTGTGAATTCTGAAAAAAGGTGAAAAAGTTTATCGTTTCATCTTTGTTTTATTATAAAAATGCTTATTTTTCTCACTATATATACATAAGAGCCGAGTTAAGACACCGATATGTGTACCTTTTGATAATAATGATTGTTTACCCTGTTACTATGTCCTATAAAACCACCTAAGGCATACATTTATTTGATGGTCATTATAAAAATAAGATTTTATTTAATCTGAAATTATGCTTCAGAACAATCTTAATATTCTATATAGTTGTTAGATAGAAAGTCATATTGGTGTTTAAATCATTTGCAAAGTGCTTCTCAAACTGTAAATTACAAACAGTCATTAAAGTGTAAACTTAGAATGGGTGTAAGAAACTTGTGGATTTACCATGCTTGTATTCATTCTTTATAGCGGGTACCAAGTACCTTATAATTTCAGTGTAAATCGCCTCTGCTTATTCATTATTATCTCCCTTACTTGAGAACAAGAGGCGGGGCAGTTATTAAGTAAACCTCCTGTTCATTCCTCCCTCTGTCTTTGTTGCCACCTTGGTTGAGCTGTGCTCTTTACTGGGAAGGAGTGATTGGTGAATGGTTTTAGAGAGGTGCTTCTGAACTTTGGCCCCGTTCTGTGTGACTCAGAAGAACCTCTGGAATTTAAATCAAAAAAGTTCCACTTCCATAAAGTCTTATATTTTTACACAATATTCTTCCCCTTTTTTAACACCACAACGAACTGTATTTGGAAGTTTCATAAAAGGTGCACTTCTCAAGATAAGCTTGCAGGAAAGAAATCATATCCGACTTTGCAGAAAATCTAAATTTCCCAGCAGATTTTAGATATTGCTGCTGCAACTCATTTACTTGTTGGCTTCAACTTCTATTGCCCTGTAGTTTATACACTTTTTTATCTTCACCCTCATTTAGACCAGATTTATGGTTGAACACAGAACACAAGCTGACAAAGCTATTATGATAGCAGGGATTGTTTGCTGTAGTAATCTTACTCCTTTTACCACTGTTTTGCATGATTTTTTAGGATAAAATTGTACAAATACCTTAATCTTTAAGTGTTGCTATATTTTAGTTCCATTTTATGTTTTAAGGTAATTAAGCTTTTATAACCTTTCTCCCACACATGGTGGGTATATAGTTTGTTATCATTGTAAAACAGTTATAATAGTTGATTTTTACATTCAGTACAGCAGTAAAAGATCATAATTAGATTACATGTAAGCATTTGGCTATACATAACTGATATTGTAGTTTGAAAGAGACTCTCTCTTAAAAAAAAGAAAGAAATATATATATATATATATATATATATATATATATATATATATATATATATATATAAATATATATATTTTTGCTGAGATTGCTGAGAGTAATTGAATCCTCGCAATCAGCTGGTTTTCCTTATGGTTTTCCTTCCTAATATGATTGTTTTACCTGTATAAATACGTTTAATATTTTCTAATTGCAAATTTTCTGGGAGGGGCCTGGGTGCAAACCTGCACTGTTAAGACACAGAGCTGCATTGTCAGGACCTTGGCTGCAGAGCGGCACCGTTAGGTCTCTTGTGCTGTTAGAACCGGAAGTTTACTCGAAGACTTTCAAAGTAAAAGTGAAGTTGATGCGAAGCATTTCTAAAGTAAAAGCTAGGGTCGATAAACTCCCTGTGAAGCTAGCTTCCTTTCACAAACAAGTGTTGCTATGCTGGAAACGTATGGACACGCACAATTTGACTCCCCACCAAACTCCTATCGAATAATAGATATGAGCTACATAGAATTAAGTTTCTGTATTTGGATCTCTGGATGGAAAAGGGCATTTGGTCTAGAAGACATTTTCTAAACGGCAATGGAGGTTGGCTGTCTTTTAGGCATTTTTGCTTACTGTATAATTTAAAATGCTCCTATGTTCAGTTCACTGTCATAAACTCTAATCTGGCAGCAAACATCTGCTGCGCACTATTCCTGAAGGCTTCGAATACAACTTCTGGAATAAAACTCAAGTCCTGACAGTGCAGGAGGCTTCATCTTGCAGGTGTGCAATGAAGTGTCCTGACAGCGTAGGTCTGCAGCCAGACTCTCTTGACTTTCCTCTGTGTGAGACAATCCAGGTTGAAATATGGAATTTACAGATTAAGGGGGCTAAACAAAAATACAAGCCACATATTTAATCATAAGAGAAATATAAAAACAAATCATATTTTTCTTGACTCTTCGTAATTATGCTCCACATTAAGTTGGTCTTTCACTTGTATTGTCTAAACAACACTGGTGATTTTATGAAGAAAGAGGGTCAGAGGTATGGCTAATAAAACACTCAAAGGAGCTGTAGTTGTCTCTGTTCCTGTCTTAAGCATCAGTTGATGTTTTGAGCTGCTCTAGTTCAGTGCTGAATTTGGGGATCTTTTTCTTTTGGAAGACTGCAGCAATCTCCTCAAACGTTTTGCCCTTGGTCTCAGGAACCCGGAAATAAATATATATGGTGAAACCAAGAAGCAACACGGCAAACAGAATAAACACGTAACAGTCCATCCAGGTCTGGAGAGGGAGGGAAAAAAACAAGCACAAAATTATAGTCTGTGTGTGATCGTGCAACCTGACATGAGATCTGCATTAGCTTACAGTGCATTGCACAAGCTGGATCTGCCCCCACCTCCTACCTGTATGTATGGAAAGGTCATGCCTATGATGAAGTTGCTGGTCCAGTTGCAGCAGCCAGCGAGGGCGATGGCAGCTGGGCGAGGCCCTTGGCTGAAGATTTCTGCTACTATGAACCAAGGAATGGGACCAGGACCAATCTCAAAGAAACTCACAAACATGAAAATGGCTGCCATGCTGACGTAACTCATCCAGGAGAAGTCATTCTGGAGAGAAAAAATTCATAAATGGGTTTTCTTCAACAATTATGCAGCAGTAGTTATCCTTGTAGTGGGTGCATCTTTCCTTCCACACTTTTTCTATCCACTCAGCTTTTTATTAACATAGCATTTAACCTTTTCTAAGTATTTATATTTTCTAAAAATAAAAATAAGAAGAATTTTGGCATAATTTAATAAAAACTTTAAGGCATAATTATCAAAGTTGAAAAAAAATCTACATTTGTAATAGTTCAGTCCTTATATCATGGCTCAATATCATTAATTAGTGAAATAAGTATCAAAACATCCAATTTTTTTCAGCGACTCCTGTTTTCTGAATTTGCTTCCTTCTCATAAACCCCTGTAGGCAGTTTTAGCTGAGACCCAAAATTTTACACTTGGTTGAACAAACCTGGAATTTGAGACCCACTGTCATGGCAACGGCACAGCAGCACATCCCTCCCAGACCAACCAGAGTCAGAGTGCGCCTCCCAGCTCTGTCCACCAGTGCAACCTGGTACACATAGATCATGTTTACAGACAGAACAGGATAATGCAGCACCCATTCCCGATGTTGCATAGGTTAGTGTATTACTCACAGACACCAGAGTAAAGGCCGTATTGATGACTCCCACTCCTATTGTAGCATAGACTGGTTGACCGACACCAGCTTTTGTGAAGATGGCTGTAGAGTAGTAAAAAATCTTGGAGACAAATGTGCAAAGGAAGAATAGATTACCCCACATAATAAAATTTCACTTAATTGTTTTGTGTGAGTTTCTTTAGAAAATTGTATTTCAGTCAGTCAATCTATGTATGTGGATCAAATCATTTTATTAGGGAAAACAAAAAAACACTTCATCACTCACTGCGTTAATGCCAGACAGCTGCTGCGAAAGATGCATCATGAGGGCCACAAAAAGCTGCTGTCTATATACAGAGGAGAAGATCTAGGCGAGAAACAGCAGATTTAATGACCAATTTATTAGCCACACCTTTTTAGTTGCTTTATATCAATGACAGAAAATCAGCCAACTATCTAGCAACAACCTACTGCTTTTTAGTATCTTAAGACATTTAAAAAGACATACTGTGGTTAAAACTAAGCATCAGATTAGTGAAAAAATATTTTTCAGACAGAATTATCTCTCTGAGTGTCAGAAAAAGAGTTATAACGAGGGAACTATTCTATATATTTACAGTTTTATGGATAAAAATGGTGTGTTAATTTAGAAGTCAGAGGAGAACGCGGAGACTTGCTGGAGAAATCATAGAGGCTAATGCAGATAATCTAACCACAGGTTACAACAAAGATATACAGACATATATATATATATATAGGCAACAAAGAGTACTACTATTCGGTTAAAACATGGAAGGAATCATCTTGTCACAAATTGATTAATGAATTATAAAAACATATCTATTCATTGCTATTGTATTCGCTATGGCTATGGCTATTGTTTATTATATAAAATATGTTCTGCATATTCATTTTGATCAAATATTTTTTTGTAGGAGCTTAATCTATAAACTGGAAACATTGCTGCATTCTTATAACAGCAAGAGCTAAAGATTTTTGTTCTTTTTACCTTGTCCCAGATTCGGTGGTTTTAAAATTTCTCTGAGTGCAACAACTTTAGGCAGGTAACTCCTTTCATTTTAGTTTATTAATTTATGAAGATCAATAGATATTTTTATAGCTTTATTATCTTGTGTTTCCTGTTTTGGTGGAAGGCTAACAAAGATGGGCCTCTAATTCACATCAAATGTATGCCAAAAGGAAACATGCCAACTGAAGGTAACTCAATCTCCAATTAGCTTCAAAAATAAATATTAAAGTAAAATGCTCCAATAATGTTCATTTTACAGAAATATTGATTTTATCTCACTGGATTCCCCATACTAAGATTAAAGACTATCATTCTAGATTAAGGAAATACAACAAAAAGTTGTATTTTTTTCCCATTTAGGAGGATTTTGTCAGAAACAGCAAGAACTTTTAAAGATGATCTCTGTAGAGCCCTACCAACAAACGGATAGACACTCTTGGCTCTTTGTCTGCCTCCTCCTTCTCCCTCCTCATTTCTTCCAGATCAGCAGCAGGATCATATGCTCCTTTTAGACGATGTAGACCTACAGAGAAAGGCAAATATTGATAAAAAAATAAAAATCTTCCCTAAATAAAAGTGGCTAATGCTTTTTGTCCACTAAGATTCCTTTTTATAGAACATCTGTTAATGCATTTACTTTTTTTTGTACTTAAACTCTTAAATGAAATAAACTTTTGTGAAATTATTTGGGCTGCCTTTACACTTCCATGCAAGGCTAAGCTCAAATAACAATCTGATCTCAGAATGTTCCTATCTGTCCTTCAATGGGAGACAAGGTGCTGACTTTCTGATATGTTGAAAATGTGGAATATTTACATAAAATACTCTTTACATATTAAAAGTCTTACTTCTTCTGGCTTCCTGCTCTTTGCCCAGCAGAATGTAAAGGTAGCGCGGACTCTCAGGGCACAATGGCAGCATAAGGGACTGTAATATTGCAGGAGCCCCAGAAAGACCAAGCAACACATGCCACATTTCATCGTTGCCAAGAACAAAATCCAAGCCTATCACCTTCAGATAAACAGATGTTATATTTGGTTACATCTCCCTGTTTTCTCTCTGTTTTTCTTTGCAGTAGTTTAGGAATGTGAACATGTGACTTACTTGGCTGAGCAGGATGCCAATAACGATGGCTAACTGATGCAAGGTTCCTAGAGCGCCTCTGTAGGCTTTAGGTGCAATCTCTCCAATATACATTGGCACCAGTCCAGATGTCAACCCTGAGGTGAAGATCTTTAAAGATTAAAGCAATGTGCAGCAAAATATGACAGTCGGTGATTCCAGGTGCTTCGACATACCACAGTAGAAGCCCATGACAGCGCGCCCTGTGATAACCATAATGTGGGGCTTCCACATTCGGGAAAGACCCATCAATAGTCCAGCAGCTATAGCCAGGACGTTGACCATAAGCATGCCCTTTACCCTGCAGAACAAAAGAATGAACTTCCTCTTCGTTCTTACAGCATTAGTAAAAAAAATTTATAAAAAATCTCCAACCTTCCTTTGAAGTCTCCGATAAATCCTACCAGGAATGAGGATACCATGCCGCCAATAGAGAAGATGGCTACTGACAGTGACCAATACATTATTACTGAGGGATGCTTTTTTTCCTCAAATGAACCTTCTTCCTCTGTGCTGTTATCCAGTAGCTCTGACCTCTCGGTCCACACACCCAAAGACATAGCATAATGCTTCTCAATGACCTGGGACATAGAAAGACCAAAGAATTGCAGTGATGCATACATGTGGTTGGACGAACCTGAAGATAACTGTCTAGTTTTGTGGCCTGGGGAAAAATTACTTGCTTTTTTTTTTTTACGTTCTTTTGGCGTATTGATGCTTTAAGGTAATAGGAAATTTATAAAGCAAATGAACAATGCATCTAATAATAAAAGTACTTTATAATTCCCCATAAGTATTGTGGCAAACTTTAAATATGACTTTTTATGATGCTTTTTTAAAACCAATCTTGTTTTGGGAATTGTTTCCATTAAGCTAGATCTGTGGTGTACACATCTCTAAACAGAATCTCTGCAGCTCATCCAAAGCTACCATAGTCCCTTTAGTAGCTGCTCTCCTTACTGTCCTGTCAGGGTAACTTTTTTGCTTTGACTTTGGTATTTTAAAGTTGTGTAATAAAAATATGTTAATCATGCATCACTTTTATTCCACTTTACTAGAGCAGACATAAAAATCTAATAAAATATAATAAAGGTGAAGTGAAATCTCTGAGGAGTATGAATGCTTTTACAGGTCACTGTAAAGGAAATATTACAATCATATCTTATGTAATCTAATTGTAGATACTTGACAATATGGAGAAGGGATAGCAATAGATGGACTGTCTTGTAAGAACATGTTTTATTTATTAAATGTATTGTGTGTCTCTCATATGTGTATTTGTTAAAGAAGTAACAGAAAAATAAATATCAGCCACAATATCAGTAAATGAAAAAGCTTAACATTTTCCTAAAGAGTTTTTTTTTTTTTTTTTTTTTTTTTTTTTACTTTATGCAGATTCACAATAGATGACAATAAAATATTTTTTTCTTAAAGGGCATGTGATGAGTAAGCAATTCAATGACTCAATAAAGTGTCTTTTACCTTCTGCGGTGCATTGATGACTCCTAGACTATATCCGTACTGTAGGGATCCTAGAGCTGCTGTAAACACAGCTACAGCCAAAGTACCTGATAGTTGCTGCAAGCAACACACACACAGGTTACTGTCCACATCCACAGCAGATACTGTTTGGTTTTTTGTTTTGTTTTTAACAGTATGCAAATATGCAGAAATATAGAGAAAAACACCTTAACCCTCAGGATACATTTGGGAAATGCATATAAAGAATGCCATTTTTAAGAATTGCCATACCTTTCCCGTCTCCATGGATCGTGACTGTTAGCCTTGTGGCTGGTAATGATCAGTGAACTCAACTTGCCTGATCACACAGTGTCCACTCTCTAATCGACCAACCAACACACACACACATGCACGCACCCACACACCCACCCACAAACCCCTGAACATGCTCATGAGAACATTGACAATATAGATGGATTTTTCCCCCATGGAAGAGTCTTTTGATCATAATATTTCATATACAGACTTAAGCATATACCAAATATCATTATTTAATAAAACACTGCTTTCAGGATGATTTCAGGTAAATTACATTTAAAACCATAGAAAAAAAATAAAATCAGATATTTGTAAGAGTAGTGCAATAGTTTTTTTTTAGCAGATAACCCATACCCATGCACAATGACGCTTGCATTCAATTTCTTTTATAAAAAGTACACGTGCAAACACATGCTTGAACTTGTACTCGTGTGTTGGTTTGTTAATGATACACTAGGTTGAACAAAGTCTGAGGGTCGAGGCTGATATGTGCACTAACAAAATTAAGAGATAAAAGGCTCACGAACAGAATCCTGTTTTGCTAGTCTCTTTTATTTATCCTTTCCAGCATCTCTTTAAAAGCAAACAAACCCCAAAACAAATCAATCCCAAAAGCAGGATATTAGTAATGTTCTTTTAAAATAAAGAAATCAAAAATGAATAATGTTTACAGTGCTTCTGGATTTTAAAGGAGAGATTTCAGCAGGATGGTAATTAATGCCTCACTTATGATTGATCGGAAGCAAAGTATGAGCATCCAAGGGAAGACAGTGTTTTCTGTAGTTTATTGCTAAAGAACACATTAGCCCACTCAGATCAGTACACCCTATCTACAGCAGCACAGAGGACAGCTACAGTGTAAATGTATTAGGAAGTGCTTTGAAATATCATTAAAAAACATTTCACAAAGGAATTAATTAACAAAAGATTGATTTTATGACCTCCTCTCTTTTTTAGGCCCTATAAAACAATTTAGCACTGCTTGTGGGTGTAAAGTTACTCCAAGACAGATCCGGACAAAAAAGTAGGTTTTTATCATTGCATTTTTTAAAGCAACAGGTAAGGAACTGAAAAAGATGATAAATTCCAAAATTCTACTGAATCTAAGGAAGACACTTTTTACTGTAACATTTCCCCCCTTTTTCAGATTTAAAAGATCAAATGACATTTTTTTTTTTTAAAGTCCAGTCTGCCCTCAAGTGGTCAAGTCTTTATGAACTCACAGAAGCTTGGTCAAGTTCCTGACTTGTCGACCATTTATAAGAATTTGGCATCACCGTAAAATAAATCTAGCATGATGTTATTATCAGCTACCAAAGTGCCTTTGATGGTATACGAGTAGCCCCAAGTGGTCAAGTAAATATTATCCCAAATAACAGATCCCAGGTCAACCTCCTTTGACATTTTGGACATTTTAGGTTATCTTGATCAGCATGAGGGAATTTACCCTACCAAACTAGCGTAATTCGTAGAGATCATATGTGACAATATCAGAAACAATAAAAGATCCTGGGTCACTGCTTATCTTACTGTCATTAAAAAGCAATATTAAGTAAAAGGGTTTTACTGCATATTGTCAGAAGATGATTATCTACAACATAAATTTCCTCAGGTCAAAGTAAGAACATGGAGTCAAAACCCTGCTTTGGAGTAACTTCATTACTGAATAAAACATATGGCAGGAGATCATCCAGTTACTGCAGCATTTCAGCTATGAAACCCCCCCTGTATTATGCTGCTGTATAACACAGATATGTCATCTGGTAAAAAAAAAAAAAACGAAAAAAAAAAACAACTTTTGTACAATGCATAGAATCTGATAAATGTTTTTGATAAAAGAAAATGCTTTCAAAGCACAAAATTAGATGTAAATTTATTAATGCATATCTCTGTCAGTGAAGACAAAACAATAATCAGCAATGTGTTACTTTTAAATAATAAAATAACCCCGCCCCCCCATCCCTATTGGGTGCAAAAGACAAAATAATACAACAGTGAAAACCATAAAAGTAAGACAGTAGTTAAAATGTGATCAGTAATCCTTAATATCCTTTTGGCTTCTGTTTAGCTTTTGCTTACATCATGCTAGGCACTGTACAAACATTTAGGAGCCACAATTAGATGAGAAAACCAAAGGAGGAGCATGACAGAAAAGGATCCCACAGTGTTCGAAAGTGAATGCTTTACATATTCACACAGTAGTTGGGACAGTAGCTCAGATCCCAGTAAGTCTGAATTCAGGACAAGAAAATATATATTAAAAAAGGTTAAAATAAAACAGAAAAACAACCCCCCCCTTCAAAAAAAACTCAAAAGCTATGTATTGCCTTCTGTAAATGCACGCTGCTTAGATGCACAAACTTTTAAACTTCATACTAATACAATAAAATACTCTATTTGCATGTAAACAAACTCAATGCTGCTTTGATCACATTGGGTTAGAGAATGAAAATCAGCCTGATATTAATTTCAATTCTTTGATTCTGATTGATTTAAACTTCAGCATCAAGTCAAAGACACCCAGATTTGTACCCACACATACACACACCCACACACACAGATGTGCTGTAATTTTTTACAATATTAAGGTACCACTGACGCCAATACAGCCCCTATCCCCCCCACACACGCACGTGTTTTGTTTTTATAAGATTACAGTAAAACTGATGCAGCACCTTCAGATATTAAAAAGTACAGAGAAGAAGAGGAGGCGGGAAAGAAGGAAAGAAGGAAACGAGAGAAGACAAAAGGATGGAGAAGGGATTTCATTTTAAAGGGAGGAGGATATTACACTTGCATATTGTTAGGAGCCACTTCACAACAGAGCGCCTCACTGCGTCTGTCAGGAAAATGTGACAGTGTCGAAATTTAGATGCGAGTTTGGTGAGAGTACAGAAATATGGCGCCACGAGGAAGTGGAGAAGGGTGGAAAAGAGAATTAAACAGGCATCTTCAATTACAGACATTCAGACTGAATTTGAAGTCCTGTAATCTATTTTATTTTGCCAGTGCTATTCCAATTCTCATCTTTTATTAAACTGCGTCAGAGCTCTTCAGAATGAGTTATGCTAGGTGAATAAGACAAGGCAGTCAGATGATAGGAAATATGATGAGCCAAAGGAGGCAAGAGTAAAGGGGTAAACATTTAAATGCAGTGGTCCATTAGAGACAGGACAAAAGAAGAAGAAAAAGATGTGAGCGCCAGTCACTTAAGTAGCAATGGCTTCTGCATGGCCCAGTTCAGACTAGGGTATCTAGTCTCTTCTGGGACTGTTTTTTTTTTCCTACTCCATAAATGTCTCTAGAGCGCAAAAAGAGGTCATATGTGATGATCCGTGTCAGTCTGTTCATTTCGTCTGATGTGTATTAGGCCGCAGCAGAAACAGCAGGTTGTGGGACTCGCCAGTAGGAGACTGAAGGAGAGCAGACGAGGTGACACATCACCAGTTCATCATCGAGTTTCTGTTGAGTGTCATGAAGAACACCTGGCTGCTACCTCCTGAACGCACAGATGCAAAGAATACCTGGAAAAGGGATCGGGATAAAACACTTTATGTGTGTCAATGTGCAGCACCCATATGTACAGTATTAACACCATTCCAACTGACTTTATTTTGATTTACTTTTTTAATAATAGACCAATACAAACTGTCCAACGTTTTTTTTTGATAAAAATCTTTCACATATGGCCTTTTTTTCCATGTCAATGCAACCCCATATCAAACAGCTACCCTCATTCACCGTGAGGATGGTGTTTTAAAGGTGATAGTTTTCCACTATGAAGGGTTTGTACGTACAGTATGAAGTACAAAATATTGACTATTTGGTCCCCTATACAGCTGATCAAAGAATGATTAGTGATTTCTTCCTATGGCCTTCTGATGACTAACGGTCCTGTTAAAAGGTTCTCCCATATAATCTGTGGATCTCTGCAGCACCTCCAGAATGACCATAGGTCTCTTGGATGGCTATATTATTAAGTTTTTTATTTCTAAGCCTGTATATTTAGACTCTATCCATCTTTTTATTTTAAGGGCTTGAACAGTACTCCTTATTTTTTTTATTCTTTTTTTAACTATGGATGCTTTATTACTATCTAAACTTTGCTATAAGCCTCTTTCCAACTTTCTCCCTTGCTGCTTTCCTTTCTCCTCATGCTGCTTGTTCAATAATCTTCTCCAAACATTAAGTATTTAATTTGTAAAAAAAAACAAAACATTTTTTAAAACATCTGTCATGTTCCACTCCTTTTAGACATATTCTCTACTCTTTGTTGGTCAATCAAATCAAACCCAATAAAGTAAACATGATGTTTGAGGTTTTAACCTGACAAAATGTGGAAAAATGTCAGAGGGGATGATACCTATTATGTCAGTATAAAAAATAAGAGAAAACATTTGCTTTTCTACCTAAATATTAATCTTATGGCAGAATAATGTTTAATGTCTTTATCAGGTAATATTGTGTATCTAATAATAATAATAAGTGTATCTGCTAAAGAAACATGCAAATAGTCATTTTATGTGTAATATTTGGACAGAGTATTTGGTAAAAGAAAACAAAAAGATGACAAGCACAACTTATACTGCCTGGTAATTACCTTATCATTGCGCTCACACAAGAATTTAAGTCTCTGGGCTCTCTTGTGCATGAACACTCCATCCAGATGACCTGTCTCCACGGAACGGATTTCTATGGCTTTCTCGCCCCAGCCCATAATCTGATTAGAATGGATATAGGCTGGAAAAAGATGAAAAATGGTTTTAAGTTTATTAAAAAAATATATTGCAAAAAGAATATACAACAGTTTACAATGAATGCCACTCTTTGGGATAAGAAAATAAGGAAATACCACATTAGCCTTTAAAAAAAAATAATCCTAATGATCTTTTCAGTAAGAAATGCCCACATTCCCAGATATTCAATTTTATTGTTATGACACTGTCACAAGTACGATGCAACAAAATTCACACTCTACATTTAACCCATCTCCTTGGGGATCAGTGGGCTGCCATTTGCGACGCCTGGGGAGCAGTGTGGGTTTAAGGGTCTTCGCACAGGGAGCCAGAGTGGCAGTCTTAGGGAGTGGGTTTCGAACTTACAACCCCAGGATTCCAGACTCTATGCTCTAAGGGTCACTGAAAGACCTTTCAAGTCAACTTCATGGTAGAAATTTCTAACAAAAAAGTGTGACTTTTAAGAATTTGCTAATAAAAGGCAAATAGAAAACACCAACGAACATTTGATTTAATATCTTAAAGTTTCCTCTTGCAATGTATTTCAAGTCATCATGTGTAATGTGTCTGGCTGCCACACAAGGGCAGCAAAGTTCAAATTTAACAGAATTTCTCAAATGCATTGCTGCACCAGCTGAACTGTCTCTTTCTCTTATTAATCCCCCCACTTCAGCCAGTCTCACATTTCTTATGATAGCCATTCCCCACTATTTGCCAGTTATCAACTCTTTATATGAAATCAGCAGATAGGGGGTAAATCCTTCTCCTCAACTGCTATTTCCTTTCAAAATGTGCTTCCAAGTGAAAAGGAATATTTATTTTGTCACAGTTTTGCACTTTGTGGTTCTGTTTAAGTTTTCTTTACTGTCAGGTTGTGTGGAGGTTTTTAGAGGACTCAAATACACAGACGGAAGCTGTGGAGGATTTTTGAAGATTTAATGCATTTCATCCAAAGGGAAACAAAAGCAAAAGTCAAAAACAAAATACAGAAAACCAAAAGAACCAGGAGACATCAGGTAAAACACATGAGGCCCAAAGGAAGGACGAGAAACCAGCTAACAGTAACTTAAGAGGAGTATATATGCCAAACAAAACAAAGACTGGGGTAATCAACTGATTGGGAGCAGGTGTGGACAGAAGGATCTAGAAGGGAGCTAGGGGTAACGGAACAGAAGGTAAACAAGAAATACATAAGAACTCAAATACAACCAGAAAACAACACAAAAAGGAAATGAAACCAATGAAAAGTCAAAAAGAAAACTTAAACACAACCAAAAAGTGCAAACCCGTGACATTTAAAGAGTACATACCAACAGAGGTAGGCATCTCTCCCCATTGTAGCACCACGTCTTTGGTGATGCGTCCGTAGGTGTTGACGTAGACCCCCTCGTCTTCATAACACAGCAGCATCTCCATTCCATCAGTCTTAGGTAGCACGACAATGGCATGGGGTGTCACCTGACTCTGGATCTATGATAAATACAACCCATTATATTTCAGAGGATTTTTAAACCAGTGTGATTAAGTTAGTCGTAATCATCTTAATGTTAGAATACAACAGGAATCAATGGAGAGTTTTTTGTTTTTTTTAATCTGGTCTACATTCTGGAATCCAGAATTTTTACTTAAGATTAGTAAAGCAATAAGAAGAGCAGAAACCTGTCTCAGCCAGTAACACACTGCTTTTACACAAGAGCAAAATATGCAAATAAGCTAATTATTGCTACTGCCAGCAGTAAGTTAACCCTTTAAAGCCAAGTATGTCATGTAATGTAAATGTAAATTCTTTATTTTTCCACAATGGGGAAATTCACTCTCAGCATATCATATCTGATACATGAGTTTTTGAGACCTCTGCATCATCAGTGTGATATTTTTGTTCTTGAAAACGCTGACTTACACAATCAGACAGATGCAAAAAATGTGTAAATTATTATACAGAAATGCTTAATGTATCAGAATTGATGCTCAAATTTTACTTATTCAAAAGTTAATGTAATTTCTCTGAATTTTGACAACTGTAATAAAACAAATATAATTATTTCATGGCCCAGGCTTTAAAAGGTAAAATTTACCAAGAGTTATGAGAAATTAATCTGAAGATGAGCTTTGCTTTATCGTAAGGACAGGTAACCACAGGAAAGGGCACAATCATGGGAAACAGCAATAAAGCCAAGCATAATTTATTACAGTAGGAAACCTGATAAAACTTGGTTTTAGTATTTTTCCTTGAAGGTAAAAAAAAAAAAAAAAAAAGGTTTGAGAGCTTTGCATGGGTGAGACAAATTTATTCTAAGAAATTAGTTTCTAAAAACATTTTGTTAGTGGGTTCACTACTAGACTGTATAGAACATGGGGACATGTAATGCTAATCTATTTCAATGGAGTTATATTCACTAAATATCTATTTATACAGAGAGTAGTCCAGCATGTCACCTTCATGTGTTTGGAACACTGCAGAGGAAGTTGGCAGGGAAGGAGAGGAAAAGGACACTGATGAAATTGTGAAAACAGTGAAAAAATCTTCCTCAACTCCTTGGTGATCTTACAAAAAATATTTGCAAATTAACATTGTGTTTTTGATTTTAGATACATAAATATTAAAGACTTCAAAATAAATGATAATCAATCCATCCTTTTCCTAACACGCTTAGTCCCAAGCGGGGTCGCTGGTGCCTATCTCCAGCTGTCACTGGGCGAGAGGAGGGTTAAACCCTGGACAGGTCACCAGTCCATCGCAGGGCAACACAGAGACAAACAACCATTCACGCACACACTCACACCTAAGGGGACTTTAGAGAAGCCAATTAACCAAACAGTCATGTTTTTGGACTGTGGGAGGAAGCCGGAGTACCTGGAGAGAACCCACGCATGCTCAGGGAGAACATGCAAACTCCATGCAGAAAGACCCCGGGCCAGGAATCGAACCCAGAACCTTCTTGCTGCAAGGCAGCCAATAAATGATAATATCAGACGAAATGTTCAGAAAATATACAAAACAGAGTTGTTGATGATTATTCTATTTACTAAGAAAAGAAATTAATCCAAACCAGTCTGGTTCTTAATAAAAAATAACTTCTCCTTCTTGTCAAATCTTTAATTTAGTGCAAATAATCATAGTTTTTATATTTTAAAAAATAGCTTAGTTCAGTTTAACAAGCCACACTCATGCCTTATTTCAAAGGTGGGACCAAATCATTGTTTTGCAAACTATGTGTTTCTCAATCTCAAATTAGGTCCTAATGCATCAAAGTCCCAAAATTCTGTCCAAAATTGGGACTCAAGTAAGCAAATTGACTAAATAAATATTCTAATCACTGTGGTAAAATCAATTCTACAAATTAAAGTCAGTAAACAGAGAAGAATGAGCTGAAATGATTCATAAAACAACTGAATAAAAAAATACCTTTATTTATGTTGAAAATAAAGATTATCCCCGAGTTAATCAACAACTGTACAAACTTGAGTTTCTAACATGATTAACAATGAATGATAAAATTTACAAATCAAATTAGTTGTGTAACTGTACTGTATAAAAGGGAACTTTGAGATTAATTTGTTTTATTAGACGTCATTATAATAGTGTTATCTGTCAGCTTGGATCCAGTAAGTGTGTTTAGGATATGGAACAAAGCCCATTGATGTAATTTGCATATCTAATAATCAGATAATCTACATTGTGAAGTTGATACTTTAACCTAAGCAGATTGCAGAGGTAACTAATTCATAATAAGTCAGCCTGTAAGCTAGTTTTACATCTTTGCCTAAACCTGTTACTTTCCAGGCTCTATGAATAAATTAGTGTACACAAAAATGTTGTTGCTATTTTTTGTATTGATTTCTTTTTATTTTGAATTTTCTATCTTATTATTTAAGGGTGTAATCTACACAACAATGATTTCACAGTTTTAATCTATAGTCAATTAATTTGTTTTGTTTTTAATCATTTATATTTACTACCATAGAATTTGTCTCAACCCCTGTTTAGATGATTTGATCATTTTAATCATTCGTTTTTGTCTCCCACTGTTAATGCCAGTTTTTTTTCTTCCGTTTACCTCTCCTTTAACACTAAAAGTGCTCTGTAAATAAAATGTAATTCATCGACATGTTTTTTCATGCAAAAGACAGAGACAGAAAAGATTCTTCAGTTAGTATTTTAGGACATAATCAGTTTTCTTTTATTTATTTAGCTATTAAAGTTAAATTAAAAAAGGCCAGTCCAACCTTCACATTTCTACCGAAACATTATGAGTTAAATATGTTGTTTACATAGCCATGCACCCCTGGAAGTAGTCTGATGTGGTTGGTTTTTTGTCACACAATAAACTATTTAAGTAGCCTATGCATAAACTTCTGAATTTAAACATATAAAAGAAACCTTCAATGCCTGAATGATGAAAAATAGTAGGACAATATCTCATTCACTATCTAATCATTTGCCTGTCTGGTGAAAAACAACATCAAAGACTTGCTAGAAGGGCTGCGTTAGAAAACTGATGCTTAGTTGTGGTTCACATAAATAACCTGGCGGGATCAGTTTTATATTTCTTATCTGTAACAAAATTAGATCAATAATGTATGCGTTCTTTCGTCTCTATATAGAGAATCCAAGAGCCAGATTTAGCGGGCTAAAAATAAATGAATACATGGCAGACATCAATCCCTTTACTGCGCCACAAGAAAATCAATCAAAGAGGTCGTTTCAAGATTCCCTCTTACTGCTGACCTTGATCGTAGAACGTAGGCTAATACTAAGTGACTTGGCGCATCAAGGAATTGAAAAATCACTGTTAAAGTCTATAAAAATAAAGAAGAGCACATAAAAAAACTTTTTTATCTTACATGTGAGGGGATGTAGATGTCGTAGGGATTGCCTGAGTCCACATCAATGACATGGAAGCCCACACAGGAACCATATATAACTTTTAACCTCTGGCCTTCCTCCACTGTGAGGTCAACTAGCTGAGGACGGTGCTGCAACTCTGCAAAAGACTGAAAGTTGTGTGGGGAGGTTAGGAAACAAGCACCAAAGCACTGCAAAGCAATCTGTCAAAGGAACTTAATTGCTACATCAGCATTACTTCATTTTAACAAATTAATCCATGAGTTTAGCAGCAGATAGTAAAAGAAGCAGCAGACCTGTGGCTATTGTTGCTTCCAGGAAAGCAATTAAATTCCTTTTAAAGCAGTTAATTTTCTCTAAAGTTGGATGTCTTTTCTGTCTGTTCCCATTTCCTGAATGTTCACACACTAGACTAAGCAGTCTCTATGCAGAAGGACAAATTTATAAGCCTTTATCCTGTTTTACAGACATTAAATTGTAACGTTAGTGTAAATATTTACATTACTTATTATTCAACTGTAAAAATAGTGATACTTAATACTTACTTTTATCAATAACCAAACCACTATCTTTCAATGTGATGTTGAATATTCATTTTTTATTTATTTATAAATAAACAAATAATTATAATTTAATTTACTATGTTTGTATCAACCTGGAGGTGGTATCTTAAAGACAAACAATTCAAATTTTAATTCTTTAAATCAATTCAATTGTAAGTACTTTTCTTCTTTGAAGTTAATCAAAAGATTAGTCATAAGAATATTAAAAATAAAATAATGTGACTGCTGTACAACGAAGTACTTAAAAGGTTTAATACTTAAAGTGAGCTTCTTCAGAGCTACTCAGTAATTGGCCAAGAACAAAACACATCTTTCTACCTAGTCTGATTTTCAGTTATTGCAAACAATATATTAATTAGGAACTTTTAAATAGTCATATATGCTTGTGGCAGCTTTTCACAGAAAGATGCCCATAGTCAATTATCAAGAATATATTTTGAAGGCTATGCACCATTAATTGTCCTATTACTACATGATTCCTATTCCTATGTGATACGTACACAGAGAATGTAAAGCATTGTCAGTTAGATTTGCTATATGAAAGCAAGGTGATGTAAAGTGTAAAAGGGATCTTTACTTGTTGAATTAGTCTGAGCAGAAATACTTCAAACTCAGTGGTAATTTAATCTGGATCTATTCTGAATAAGAATGCTAAAGATATGGATGCAAGATATTCCCTCAGATTATAACAAATCTGATTATTTAAAAAAACCTTAAAATTTTGTCAAATCCCTTCAAGCTTATTAGCTGAATGCTTCGCAACAAACCAAGTCTTTATGGTAAAAGTAAGTTATTCTTCTATACCTTAAAGGCCATGAACTTGTGATAAGGTTTGGGTGCCCAGGCATAGATTTCCACTGAGTTCTTAAGTGCAATCACCAGGAACTTGATTCTCTCATATTTAACTAGGAAAAAAAAACAAACACACACTTTAAAAAAAGTTGCCAGTTCAATTTTGTCAATTTCAATTTAAACCAATAGTGCATTGCTACACATTGAACATTTAGACATTAGAAATATAAACAGCATCTCACCAACTTTATAATGTACACAGCCCTCTAGCTCTCCAACAGTGATCCAACCTTGTTTTTTCTCAACTTCTGGGTCATTGTGTAATATCCTGTTCCTCAGCCAGGACAAATAGTAGACTCGCAATTTATTCTTTTTCCCTAGGGAGAGGTAAACCAAAAGCAAGATTAAAATTATCGAACACAGATGACAAAGACAAAGATATATTTAAAAAAAGCTGCATATACCAGATATGGTGACTAATACATTCAGACCCTCCAGAACGTCCATCTGTAAGAATCGACGTCTTGTAATCAGGTTGTAGACTTTGCCCTGTCCACTTCGGTCAAGCAGCATTAAACCATTTTCAGTCCCAACCAAAAGGTTCACACCTAAGCACACGCAAACATAATAGGGTGAAAAAAAAGTGGAGATGTGAACGTATAAACCTCCCGCCATAAAAACAGCTTCTTCCCCTCTGCCATAAGACTCATGAACACTATATGTCAGACTCCATAACCTGCCCATGCCTTTTACACTGCTGTATTGCACACTGCTCTATTTGCACTACCTTGTACATTTTACTTTTTATATATATATATTTTTTTTATTATCCATATTTTTATCCTAAGTGTATATATTAGTATATTTTTTGCATGCCTTATACCCCAGTGTTTTTAGAGATTTTTATAATTTTATTTACCTATTTCATATTATATGTTTCATGTTGCACGATTGTACCATAAAAAATTCCTAGTTGTGAACTCCTTCACTAACAATGGCAATAAACCCGATTCTGATTCTGATTCTAAAAAAATGGAAAGATTTGTTTTGAGGCACAATGCAGAGATGAAAAATAATTTACTACTTACCCCAGAGTGCGGCACACAAGATCTCTGAGTTGAAGCGCTTTTTGTATTTACGAATTTCTGGGGTGTCGCTGTGAGGTCTGATGTTTGTAGGGTTCACATTCACAACAGATATCTTTCTAGCTTCGTTTAGTCGGGCCTGCTCCTGCCTCAGCAGCTCATTAGCAAACATGGCTGGGGCGACAAGGAAACATTTAAAAAGAGGTGAGCTTTAGCGTACCCTTTAAAGCTCGAAAAGAAATAAAGTGGCACAATTCAAAAACTTAAAGCTTTGCTTCTACCTGCTGCTGAGGTCTCATCGTTTTCACTCGGGGAGGTTTGATAAACACGAGGGTCAACAAATGGAGTAAACGATGCTTTGGACCCACTTAAACCAAACTGCAAACAGAAAGGTGATTGCTCAACAGTAACCAACAATGATCTCCAACACATGATTGAGCATTATGAGCACAGTCGTATGATGTGTTAGTGAGTCTAACCTCAGCCATGTCACTTAGTTCTTGCAGAGCTGTGGTGGGTGTGGAGTTGGGAGAGTTGCTTTGTTGCACTAGGTCAGGGAGGTTACCATGGTTACCGTGATTGCCGAACCCATTACTTTCAGGGTGACCACCTCTCCTCCTTTCCTCTGCCTGAATGCCACAAGCAGAAGATAACATGGATATAGGTTAAGCTGATCGGAAAGGAAATACTGCTATTAGATTTAGAGTTACACGTGAACAGAAACATATTTTTTAAAATGCTTCAGCCCAAATTCTCAAGCTTAAAGTTTTCACATTTTGTCCAAGAAATACCCCATCTGACTTGTATGTGACCGAGCAAATTGTAGTTGCTTATATTTGAATAAAGAAGCAGGATACTAATATCTAAGAAATATTGTGCTTTCGGTATAGTTTCCACTACTTAGTTCATAAAATAAAATCCAGTGTAACCAATTACCTTTAAAATTGGGAGTCTAATCAGTTCAATTTAATTTCAGCATAAATGCAACTTTCCAGGGGTTTGTTAGAGAACTTTAATGAACATGTAGTGCCACTAAGACCATGAACTTAGAAGCTAACCTCTCCTTTAAAGAAAAGTACTATCCTACCACCTCCATGTTAGAAACTTGGTCTTAGCATGGGCAAGAAAAGAAAGAATATAGTACAATTGTAACATGTTGGTGGTAGCATAGTGCCATGGAAGGCTTTTCCTTTGAAGGAAAGGATAGCTTGCCAGATTGGTTAAAAAATACATAAATAAATAAAATCAGAAAGTTCCTGGTGCAAAACAAGTTGAGACTGAAGTGGGACAATGAAAAAAACATACGCCAGAAAAACAACACAACAGTTTAGATCAAAGCATTCATGTGTAAAAAAGGTGTATTTAAGTCCAGACCTGAAAACTGCTTCACTCTCTTTCTAACTGAACTTTAGCTATTAAACAGTGAGTAAAGCTAGTACAGACAGTAATTACCACTGTAATTACTTGGGAGGTTGGCAAAGAATTGAATCAGTAGGTTTGAATACAAAAAAAATTCCTTTGTAACATCTTAAAAACCATGTAGGATTTTCATTTCACCAAAAGGTAAGTACTACTTTTTCGTAGTCGATGAAAGACAGAAAATTCTACTAAAACACATTGATATTTGTGATTATGATGTGACAAAGTGTTGAAATGTTAAATGGATATTAATACTTTTGCAGTATGCTTCATGCATCCTGTATGTGTGTGCTTTTGAGACTAAATGTACTTGTGTGTTCACATTCATCACCTCTCTCATCATCAGAGTACTGTCCCTGGAGCTATTATAGGCATCTCCCAAAGCGTCCTCTGCCAGCCCTCCGTACGACTCAGAGCTGCTCTGCTCTCCAGGCCTGCAGCGCACACACACTCCATCACTTACAAAACAAATTCTGCTGAAACAGTGCCTGCAATCATCTGCCATTGAGTAAAATACAAATTACAAAGAGCTTTGAAAGTAATAAAAAAAAAATGACAGCTTGCAGTTAAAAAAAAACTCACAAAAGGATAAAAATAAAACCTCAAAAGACAACTTACATGATGCGGGGGATATCGCTAACAGCCACAGTCCCGTCGTGCCCCAACACCTCCCCGTCCTCATCACTGCTTTCCGATTCTTCGCTAGAGGATGAGTAGTCTGTGACCTTCATCATTATGACACAGCATACAGTATGTGAGAAACAACTTTAGATTAGGATTTTACATTTTTCTTCATATTTACTAAAAATCTACAAGACTGACACACATTCAAGAAAATAGATAAAAAAGATTCAGATGATGCACATTTCTATCTGCATAGAAATTGTGATTTTCTATTAGATGCAATAAAAGGTTAGCGCATGTTAACCTGTAACTTCGGTAAAACAAGCTTTCTATTCCTTTTAAAGGATAATCGGCATAAACAAATACACATATTTTAATGTAGGGTGAAGCAATTTCTCCTTACTTAAAGGATTAAATTAGATAAATGCATAGTTGGTACTAAAGTAGGTCTTGAACTTCTAGGATCTTTAAAAAGCAAAGGGGTGCAGTTGTAGGGAGCTACATGATGCGAGAATAAATAATCCCACTAGATTACATTTTAATGTAACCTTGTAGTGTTATCTTTTTTTATTTTCAAACGTATTGAGTGCTGAATCAACCCCCCTATTGTGCTTGAATTCTAGAAAAATTTATATAGCTTTCTCTTTATTCAGGACAGTTACACTGATAAATTATAGCAGATGGAGTTTTCCTTAAAGCTGAGTAGCTGCTCTAGATTCTGTAATAAAGCAATTATGTAAAACAGCAAGAAATAGACCCTTGGAGCTAAACTACAGAAACGCAAACCTAGATATAAAGCAGATCTGATGTTAAGTTCCCTAAAACCTTGATAATTTCTATAATGTACTTGCTGCTGGTATGGCTTACTCCCCTTTTGTGTCGACAAAAGTCCAACTGTGCAGATTAAAAAGGAAAAGGACCCTAATTATTTCACTTCTCATTTGGCACCAAGTACATGTTTTTCCCTCAAAGGCTAAAAGGTTCAGTCACATGGTTCCATTATATCTTCTATTTGGCGCCCAGTGTGAATCTCTGTCAACTGAATTAAAACTAATGAATCATTTATTGCAGCAGCATAACCTCATAAGGTAATTTAGAGAAATTCTGCCCCAGATTCCTCTTCTTTCCTGCCTTTAATAGTTGGCACAATTACACTCTCTAGATCATACTCATCAAACTCTAGGCCACCAAACTGAATCAGCCCTACTATGACAATTTATGTGGCCCACAAGAGCCAAATAAAATCACGTCACATAAAACACAGGTGTACGTTGTTTTAACCCCTTAACTGTAATGTGGACACTAGGGGCCTAACTGAATGTATTTCTAATTTCTAAGAATCACAGTTCCACTTTCAATAATAAAAAGTTGGTAATGATTAATGATAAATTGGACATCTCAGTTTTAACTTTTAAAGTTTTATCAAGCCATTGCATCTACTCTGTAAACCTTTTAATAGGAAAAGCGTCTGATTGAATTTAGTTAGCTATATTTTTTTTGGAATTTTGGGGTTGCAGCAAAATAAATTTGAATTTTTAATACCAGAAAAGTGTGCTCCTTTTAAATTGAATTGTAAAATTGAGTTTGATTCGTACAGCTACAACCATCCTTTTTAAAGATATAAATGATGATGAAGGGACCAGACATAAACGATAGTTGCCGGCCCTGCTCTAAATATCTTTCCATATTTTTTTTTCTTTAGATATTTGATCTAGGGCCAAAAAAGCCATGAAAAAAGTGTTTGGTTTATTTGGGGGGGTTTTTGCTGGGCCCTTGTCAGTGTTATATATATTACAGTGCATTACACTCCCAAAAAACTAGCATTTTCTTGCTGAGGTGACTAAAATTCTATCTAAAATATTTTATTTCAAAAAGGTTATAAGGCCATTCACTCCAAAGGCCCTCACAGATTCTCCTCTGATCTTAACAGTGGACATGTCCTTCATAACACGGAGAAGCTTAAAGTAAGATATTGGTCTGAATAGAGTAAATATTTGAACGCTTTTTGCTACTATCACTTCCAAACAAGTGACTGGCTTGCTTCCCATGGTTTCTCTGAGTGGGTAAAATTGCCAGATTTTGCTATAGTTCTTCTGCTAATTTTTGAATTTATTTCCCTCCATTATCATTCTATTTGGCAACAGCAAAAGTACTGTATGAGTCCTCCGACACAACAGTAAATGAGGATAAGGAAGAATTTTAAGATGCTTCAGTTAAAAGAGACAGGAAGTTTAAGGATAGGCAAAAGGAAGGAAGGAAGGAAGGAAGGAAGGAAGGAAGGAAGGAAGGAAGGAAGGAAGGAAGGAAGGAAGGAAGGAAGGAAGGAAGGAAGGAAGGAAGGAAGGAAGGAAGGAAGGAAGGAAGGAAGGAAGGAAGGAAGGAAGGAAGGAAGGAAGGAAGGAAGGAACAATAAAATGGAGTAGAGTCTGAATTTATTTCAAAATAAGATTATATTTTTCCCACTAAAAAATTACTTCTATTTAAGTTTAGATTTCATTCATAAGTAACAAAAAGGCTCCCCCTGTATTTTATCTAAATGAATCTTCTTTTTACATATCTCCAACATTTTAACTTACGGTAATGTATATAAAGAATTATGTAATATAAACACAAAAATATGCACAACAGAATATGGCTTCAAGACTGTCAGTTAGGGCTAATCCGCTCTACAAATGAATCTAGAGTCATTTTCACTTAAGTATTTGTTTTATCTTTTCACTAAATGTCAGTGTACCTTCACAGGAGGCCTGGTTCCTTCCTCTACCCTCAGTTCTCTGAGTTCCTTAGCCAGAGCACTTAAGTCCTTTAGCACGGGGAAAAGCAGAGACAGACGAAGCCTTTTAGTGCATTGTTTGTTTCTCATTAATCAAAGCCTACAGAAAGAGGATAATTCACATAAAAGGGTAAAGGATTCAGTACCATGATATGAGGATAATTAATGTGACGCAGCCCATACACAGCTAGGGCTGGAAACGTGAGAACAAGAGTGCTGATTTTAATGATTCTACTTTAGATGACCAATTTCACAACAACTTTTTTAAAGATATCAATCAGCACTTTTATTCGCTCACATGTAAATATTGACAAAAGCCATAATAAGAAGAAAGAAACAGCAGTTTCAAGGCTGATATCCAACAAAAGGGCTGCATCTCTCGGATTCTCTCTACCGCCCATCCACATGCCAACACCCCCCAAGCAAATCGGACCAAATCATGCAAACGGAGATGAGGAGGACCATCACACACAGTGGGCTTACCAGCTCCTCCTGACAAGTTACCACGACAACAAAGAAACAGGAAACAAATAAAATCTAATTTAGAGGATTTTCAGGGGCTTGGTTGCTTATCTTTTGCTCATGTTTCTCCCTTACACACATCAACATAAACCATGCAGGTTTGCAAATAGCTCAAGGATTCATCCACATACACTCTCCTGGTATGTGTGTCAGCGCACACATGCACCAGCATTGCCAAAGCACCCCGGATTTTAAGAGTTGGAGGGAGAACAGTTGACTTCTTTTAAGACCAACTAACTTCACCATGCTAGGATAAGAAGAGGAGCTCTTATTGAGGCTAAGGATAACCAGGAAAAAAAAGAAGAGATGGGGGCATGGTCATCACTAACCTCATCTATGGCTTTCTTATAACTCTGAATAATGGGAGGAAATACAGGAGCAGAAACAGAAAGATAGAACAGGTGAATAGTAGAAAAATAGAGGAGGAGAAGAGAAAAAGCATCCCAGAGAAGAGCTAGAGTTGCTGTGTCCATCTGCGCTCCAGGACTTACTGCAGGTCTGCTGGGTCTGGCTGATTCACGACCATCATCCTGTTTGGGTTTAACCTCCTCGTTGGCAGTAGGTGGAGTTCCAACTGCCTGGGTCTGGCCTATGAAACAAAAAAATGCTGAGCTTAAAAAATGGTTTACATTACAGGAAGTTTTTCAGAAAAAAATTACAACAGGAAGAAATAATCAGGGGAAAAAACAAAGAAACATTGCCTGCATTTGCTGCATGGTTAGCGAGAAACAGAAAAGGATCACTTTTGAGTTTCTGCATATAGCAGCTTTTTTCACACCTATATTCCAAAAAAAAATATGTTTGTGAAATATACTAATAGATGTCCTGTTGATATTTTTTTCTTCTGGTCACCTTGGGCTTCCTGGATGCTTCTCTTATTGCCCTGCTAATTATTTTAGGGGTTTACAAGGCTTCCATCCCAGTGATCTATTTCTCTCACTGGGCTTGCTAAACTAAACTTGATGCACCATAAATGTCCAACTATTGTAGAAGTTCTATGTATATATTAGTAGTATAATGGTAGACAAAAAAAAGTTTGGTACATATTTGGCACACTTCAATCAAAAGGAAAAAAAAAAAACTATATATGACATTTTAAAGCTTCAGTCAGATTTCTTTTTTCAACTCCAAAAATATATTTAATTTGATCATTTTATAAAACTTAAAAACATGGAAACTATAGAACTGACTGATTGAGTTAGATTTATTTCTTTTTTTTGTAAATTGTAAAGCATTTTGGGCAGGCAAAGCCACTCCAAAATTGTCAATGTTGATGCTTAGAAATTCTAGAATATGAGCTAGAACCAAAGTTAACAAGTTAAAAAAAAAAAGGTAAAAAGCTAAATGAAAAAGTTAAAAAGTTAAATTAGGTGGGATTGTGCATTCTGTGCCTTTACTAGTCTTCTAACCCTATGTTTGACACTTCCTCTTTTCTCGCTTACTCGTTTCCTGTCCTGTTTCTCTCAACAGGCTGCAAGTAACAGGACACATCAGACATGCTCATTGCAACTGCAACCAAGAATATCATCCAGAAAGCCTCTGAAGCCATTTAAGAGTAAATGGATGTTTTCACTCTCCTCCGTTTGTGTTTTAACCAAAAGTTTCAGGCACATTTTAAAATGGATTTGTGCATGTATGCTTGTTCTTCTGTTAAATACCTCTCCTCTCTGATGAGCCTCCCTGAGATGATGGAGAGGAGGAGGATGAGGAGTTAGAGGAAGTTCTTTGTAGTATGGCATCGAGGGAGAGCTCAGAACGTCTCAAATCTGGATTACTGGAACAAAAAAAAAATGCTGTTATTTTACTTTGTTTAGACTTCACAGGCAAATGAATAAAATAAAACAGAAGAGCATCGAAAGAAAACAGTAGCTCCTTTTCAAATTACAGTTAAATCTAAATTAAAATATAAGCCTATTACACAAAGGAGTACACTCAGTAAATACTTTTAAGGTAGTTGCTGCTTTGGTCTTTACCTGGCTCGTATGAGCTGAGAACCTGTGCGAGGGCCCTGAACCACACCGCCATTGGGGGAATTCTTTCTAACGAGGGCTGGAGATATGGAGGTTGTCCTCTGGGGGACCTGGCCATAAAAATAAAAAATTAAAATCACTTGAAACAATTGATCTTCTTCTGGAGAAAAATTCTGGTCTTTACGTAATTGAGCACTTTCACAATTTATTGTATTGTGACAAGAAAATCCACTGTGTTTTAATGTATCTGTATTTGATATGACAGACTGACACAAAGTAGCACATCATCACTGATGATGATAGAATCTTTGACGGACAGAACCTGAAAAACTGTGCTGTTTATTTTTATTTAACCTCCATAATTCAAAACTTAAACTTCTCTGACTGAGCCGCAAGTGTGCATTTGTTACATGTCTACCAGCTCTTTACATCTTACTGTTGCTGCAAACACATTTTCACCTTAGGTGGTGTGTGGGCTCTATTTACCAAATAAACTAAATACCTCTAAAGGCAACTTGCTTAGCTGCATTTTGCAAGAAAATGAAGCTGAATATAAATACCTGAAAAGTTATTTAAGCTAATTTTGGAGAAAGAAAAAAGGAAACAACGGATCAGTTCTCTTATTCTAATAATAATTCAGTACTTTGTGTTGGTCTGCAAGAGTATTTTTTAAGTGGGCCACAGAGCCAGAGGGCCTGTTAAGGTGGCACTAGAAAACAAGGAGGGGGTCCAGCAGCATCATATAAGAAAGAAACAACTATAACAAAACAATCTTTTATTTGCACCCTGCAAAAAATTGTACAGCTTTTGTGCATGTCTAGGCACAAACATCTAAAACTGAATTCAATTTAGTAGGGTGGGAGCTCATCTAATATGCCATCCATTCATAAAATGCTGCAGCTGAAATAAAAAAAAATGTGAAAAAGGTGTACAGGATCTGTATTTGTCAGTTTCTATACATACTGCTGTAATCTGTGGGGCAAAACAGAAAACAAATGGCATAAAGGATCTTCAAGCATAAAAAAATAATAATTAGATTATAAGTAGAATAACAAAAAAAATTATTTAAATATATTCATATTTAACGAAGTCAAATGCAAAAATTGAATCAGTCATTTCCAATCTTTAGTAAATAAAAGTAGCCAACCCTGGGGGGCATATCCTCCTCCCTCAGCCAGGCAGTCCTATCCCGATCTCTTTCCTCCCTGCCGCTGATGTGCTGCTGGAGACTTGGAGTTTCAGAATAGGGGTCTGAATTCTGACGGGGCATCTCAGGCTTTGGTGATGCCACGCCAACCCCCTCACTCAGAGCCAAGCCCGTCTGGTCTTGCAGAGAAGGAGAGCCGGACATGGAGCTGGAGTGGGTCTTCACGGGAATGAGATGGGCCATCTGAGATGAAGGCTATGGGTGGATGGCAGATGGTAAACATTTAGGACATAAGAAGTTAAATAAGTGGATGAAAGAAAGGCAAGATTAAGAGAGGATTGCAACATAATATAAGACAGAAAGATTGAAAATGGATAGAAATGGTTTTGAATAGTCATGAAAAAAAAAGAAAAGAGTGGATATAGAAAGAGCCAAACATTAGACAAATAATCACCTAATTATAAGTTACGGTAAGCTATTGAATAAAAGGATGCAAAAGGAAGCAAGGCCTTTAATTATTTCTGTGGAGACACATCAAACATTTGCATTGACTATTTCTCCCCACGCACACCAAGTCACACACACCTGTGGTTCAATGGAGCGGTGGATGGGAGGGGTGCGGGTGGGCTGCATGCCTCCGCTGCTGAACGACTCGGAGCGGGGAGGAAGGGAAGGGTCGGAGATGCGGTGGGACGCTTTGTGCTGCAGTGCTGGCGAGCTCTGCCTGTTCATCTTAGATCGCTCCTCCACCTGAGACAGGCCACATACTACAGTCACTCACAGCACAGTCAATCCCCACGCTTCACCCACTGCTTTTAATCATCCTCCTGTCACCACCACTCCCCATGCACCATCTATATGAGCCACAAGACAGTCTTAAAATCCTACAGTTGCAAGGGACAGCAGCCAGGGGGTGTAGATGTCTGTCACATCATAAACAAACTAGAATTTCCTGTTGACAACACTCATACTGTGCTTCCCGAGGATTCTTTGGAAGGTTTTTTTTTTGTTGTAACATGTCTTAACGTCTTGCCAATTATAGCATATTTGAATCTGATCCAGACTTCCACAGAAACATTTATGAAAAGTTACATAACATCTAAACTGATGTAGGGAGGAGTAACAATGTTTAACCTGAGCTTGTGTTTCAATCAAAACCAAAAGCTAAAGCCAATATTTTCCAAGTCAAATTGCATTTTACTTTTTTGTCCCCTAAGACAGTTGTTCGAGTGGGCCGCTTTCTCAGATCTCAAATCTAAAGTTAAAACTCATCAAGTTTTATGTTATGGTACAGAAGCATAACAACTATAATTTATTCTTTTTATGCTAACATTGTTTTAAAACTACAAACAGGAAATTTTAAGAGCAGGCTTTTTGCTAGGAATATCTCATAGGGTGCAGACCTTGGTGTATCACATTTTTAGGGGGGGTGGAGGGTATCCTTCCCATAAAAGTTTTGAAATGTAAACTCTCTGAACTGCTATTTCCTGCATTTTGAGATAGAATGCAGCTATTTTTTTGTGTTTGTTATTATACTATGTTGACCCATACTATGGGAAGTGTGTGCTTGACTAAACAATCAGAAAGTGTAATGCTACGCTCACACCACCCATGCTTTCAGCATCAAAAAAGTCTGCTGCTTTGATGCTTTTACACATTAAGGTCAGACGCACCTCAAGTTAATCTTTGATGCATCTGATGCATCTGCTGCTCCTGTGTTCAATGGCAGAGAGTAGCTTTGCTATATTTGATTTGATAAGTGGGTAAAAAATAGTTTTAATATATTTTTATGCGAGAAAGTCAACCTCAAAACATCGTCTCTGCATTCAGTTCATCAAGATTATGATCCTGCCTTAAAATATTATTTCACTGACAGAGGCGTTCAGACCCCGGCTGTGCGCTTTCACTGGGAATCCCCAGCAGCAGCTGCCTCAGGCCCCCTCTTGGGAGATTTTATGACGTATGGAAGTAGATGTTAGTGTTTTTCAGCTATATGATACAAATTGCAAGCACCAGCATTAATATCGAACATATTATGCCGGCAGGTTTCGAGATTTTAAAGTATTTTAAGCATTGATAAACAGTTTCATTGGATTACATCCCAAAAACAGGGTGTACAACGTGAAATTCGTTAAGTAAAGGGCGCACAATGTACGGCCGTACGCATTGCTAGCTAAAAGCCTGTATAAGTCTGTAGAGCTGGGCGATATGGCGATATATATCGTGAGGACGAGAGAAACATGTCTATCGTGACCTTTCTCCTCTATTTTTTCTATCGTGATAAACTTCTTTATTATTATTATTAATGCTAATATACATTTTAATATAATCTGTTAATATAACATTTTGCGTTTTTGCTATGCAAACTCTAAGTGTATATAACGAAAAAAAAAAGAGAATAAAAAGATAATGTGTAGAGAACGTGGTTTTGCGACACTACACCGCTTTACGTCACGCAGCTTTGCACCATACGTTTGCGACATTACTGATGGAGAGAGCCCGTGAAATTTCTTTCTGGCTTGAAAAAAAATTAATGATGGACACCCAAGAAGATTTTACCGTTAAAGCGGAGCTGCCTGGCTTATATGCTAGTTGTCGGGCTGAAGTGGAGAGAGAGGTACGCAGTGGTGCGACGCATTATGCGTTGACTACGGACATGTGGATGAGTAGAGCAACACAGCCTTATATGAGTCTCACCATCCTTATCACGGACTGGACCCTCCGCGCTCGGTGTCTACAGACCGTGTACTTTCCTGAGGACCACACCGGAGTGATGCTCGCCCAAGGTATGAGCCTGACATTGCTATGCACTTTTGTACGTTCGCTAGTTTTACTATTATTGGTTTTACTAATATGCTTAGACCAATGAACTGTGTGCTTTTACAGCATACGCATCCATTACTGGACCTCACTGATATTATAATTTATTCTGAAGGGGGGAAAAGTGAAGGCTACTGCACCTGTGAGTGTTGTGTTTACACACAAAGGTGCTGTAGCATTCACTTTTTCCCCTTTAGATTAAATCATACTGTGTGTATTAGTGTGTACTGTTTGTTATAGTTTGTTGTATAGTACTGTTGTGTTCCATGTTTTTAAACTGTGCAGCACGTTTCTCTTGTGACTGCTGAAAAATAAAGAGAACAACTGAAACACCCATAATTGTGGTACAGGTCGTATGATGGATCACATTTTTAACTACACTGACACTCCTATCCAGTAGAACATGTGGGCATTTTAATTAATGTATTACCAGTGCAGACACATTTCTTCTTAAATAGGCGAGGCGCCTCCTAGTGGAAAACAAGGTAAGTGAAAGACAAGAGAAAAAACTGGCCTTGGAATTTTATAAAATGTCAATAACAAATGAATATTAAATGATTAATTACTGCAGCGCAATAGCCAAGATTCTATACTGTTCACTGTCATGGCCGCAAATTGCATAACTGGTGTTCTTGGTTTGGGGTTGGGATTCTCATATTAGGAAACAAGATGATGGGTAAAAAATAGGCGATGAAAGATTTTTTTCAACCCTGTCCATCTGACGGACTATGAAAACATAAAATGCAACATCAGTTGTGGTATATCGTGATATATATCGTTATCGTGATATAAAATAATCCATATCGTGATATAGTATTTTTTCCATATCGCCCAGCCCTATAAGTCTGTATGAGCCATATCAAGTAGTCGACTGCAGGCATATATATATATTTGACCAATAGACTAGATAATACATGGTTAAGTATTGCATTTGTTGTACAAATTAGAGAGCAGACTGGCTAAATGGGACAATATTCTGTGATGTAAGCACATTTTTTAAACTCTGAAATTATTTAAAATGGGGTATATTCAAAGATTTGCTGACAATTATTTATAATACCACGAAACCCTCATAGCGGGCATTTTATAATTCAACAACCATTTCATAAGTCATTCACAATTTAAATCTGGTTGAATTTCTCCCAAAAGTAAAGGACATTAAACGAAAGGATGAGACAAAGATGAGACAACTGTCCATATATAACAATCTTAAAATTGTTTCAAATATTGGCTTTGCCTCAGATTATCCTTAACAAATCAAGGCTGCATGAGTCTTGTCCAGAATAGAAACTGAGGACTAAAAGAGTCTTGTGGCTGTAGGCATAGGTCAGTAATGATTCCTAATCTCCTTTTGCCAGTTCATATTCAAAGAACAATAAAGAATTTTAAATGTGTTGTTCACACATGCAAATCCATTTGTTAGTACTCAAGTATCCAAGACTGGTGTTTCATACAAAAAAGAAAGAAAGAAAAAACTGATATTTTTAGACTCACTACATATCTTTATTAAAAAGGCAGAAAGCACCTTTCAGCACGGAAATCAGATTAATAGATTATCTGCTGTGTTGCAAGAGAAGTCACCAGAGAAAACTCCCAGCTGCCAAAATCCCACCCCAATCTACTCAACATCAGGTTAAAGGGTGAATCCTGGCTCAGCAGGGCATAGCTTCAAAACTTTCAAGGTACACATGTAAATGTGGTGAAATCTATTCTGTCTTTCTGAATCCACATATGGTTAAAGTTCAAGAGGTTTGTCTATGATTAGTAGCTGTTTTTAATATTCATGTATGCTTTTTTCCTATAGCTTAAAGCTACAACCACTTAGCTTCAATGTATTTCATTGGCGTTAAATGTCAGCAACAAAATGTGCAAACTGTGGCCTTCCTTTGTATCCAGACTCCATTATTTTTTTTAACGTATTTAAAAAAACTCCAATGCAATTACAGCAAAGGTCACTGAGCCATAAAATACACCTATGTGTAACCTAATCTCAGTCTAAATGAGGCAGTTCTGTAAGTTAAGAAAATAATATGTTAAGCTTTATCTCATGAAGAACTGTTTAAGCACAAGGGAGCTGGTCAGAGCTGATGGGAGCATGGATGGACCTAAAGGACAATCCTGGAGGATACAAAAGATTTCAACTAGCTCAATTGCTACAATAAAAAAAAAAAACTAAGTAATATTTATATATGGTCCAGCCTAAGTATACACCTAAACAGAAAGCCGTTTGTAACACAATTCGACACTGATGTTTGAAAAAAGATAAAAATCTTGATCTGAGTTTTATCTGAATCCACATTAAGATTAATAGTAAGACCAAACATCAATGCTCTTCCTGTTCACCAATATCAAATATTTTATGTGTGTTCAGGTTTTATAAAATCGAAATAAAATACATTGAGTTTGAGGTCATAAACTGACAAAATTTGAACAATTTGAAGTTGTGAAAATACCTTTTCAAAGAAGTTATGCCAAACTGTGACATCTTTCAAGCAAGTATGAGAAAGATGACTACGAGGAAGTAAAAATACACTCTGCCAAGTCAAGACAGAAAAGCTGCCCAACATGAAGTTAGCTGCTTGAGTGACAAGGTAATACCATACTGATGATGCAATAAACATTCAACAATGCACAAAAATCAAAAACTAAATAAAGGAAGGAATCAAAAGATGATCTGTGAAAGCAGTTAGCAGTTAAGGTTAGTAAAGTTTGACTTCCCTATAAGAAACAGAAAAACTGCGGTTAGTAGAAGAAGAAAGAAAGCTTTTGGGTAGCCCTGCTGAAACATTTACCACCCAAAAACATTCCTCCTTCTATAAAAATAACGAATACGGAGGAGTATTAATTGTGGCGCATCTGTAACTGCATTAGAGGCACCAAGAAGGGACAAAGAACAGGATCATGAAAGATCCTTTGTGACTATTTGATTTTAGCATAGGAAATCCACCACCGCTTCACCTGCACCAGTCACCAACAGGGAATCAGATCAAGTGCTTTACTGACCTAAAGTCAAACTGGGATGGGTTGGATTTCCTGCTGACATCACATCATATGTGTATGGGGGTGGATCACTGCAGGCAATGTTGAAGATGGGGTGGGGTGGTGTAAAGGGGCTTATGGAGTCAGGTATAAAAGATATTCGGGGATCGGTCTGTGTCAGCCTGCATTTTAACATCTGCATCTTGTCTTTAAAGTTTAAAGCTTTAGAATATCTTTATATAAAATATATACAGCTAATTTACATGACTTTACAGAAGGGCAAGCATAAGAGAATTTTTAACATTATCCCATATTTCAGACAATGGATCTCAGACAATGTTTTTCAGACATTTGAGTTTCAAGTAGAGACAGAGGATGTATCTAAAAATGTTACACGTAGTGTAAAAAATACACAACTTACTAAAATAACTAAAATTACAAATCTGTGTGTGTGTGTGTTTATTTATGTTGTCATATGTACATGTGTTATGGAGCAAGGTCAAAGACTCTGCTCTCATTGTCTTTTTTTAGTTCAAAACTTAGAAAGGAAACCCAAAGAAAAACTTTGGGGAAGAGCGTTTGGGAGAACGGTTACCACCTGAAGGACCTGCAATGATGTTTGTGTCCAGATGTATTTTGTTGGGCCCAAAGTCTATGGGTGAGGAACTCCTTGAGTTGGCTTTTGGGGTTGTGGGTGATTGTAAAGGGGAGATGGATTGAGATCTGCGAGGAGGAAGACCCAGCCAAGAACTTGCCAATTTTGGTGAAGAGACTTGTAATTGCTCAGTGGAGCGAGAACGAGTCAGATGATTGTTTAAGATTGAGAACTGTTCAGGGAGTCTGAGATGATTGCTGCTGATATATTTAGGGTAGTAGGGGTTTCCTAGATTTGGAGAGCTACTTGCAGGGTAAGAGAGAGAAAGGGGATCTATTTCTAGACTATTTTGGGACTGCAAGCGACCTCTCAGGTTCTCATGGCTGGCAGAGGACTTCAGATTACTAGCTAAATAGCTTGAAGTGAAATCCTGACTTGGTCTCAAATGTTGTTGGTTAGGAGAGACATCCCCCCACTGTGAAGAACCTAAGAAAATCCCAGATGCATTTGTCAGGCGTGGAGGGTTCCGATTATTATTAGGTTCTACCTCTACCTCTATTCTACGGCAAGGTGAGTGAGACCGCCCAATAGCTGAGGGACTAACCGATAGGCGCATGTTAGCAGATGAGCCAGACTGTGGAGTCTGGGCCTGTCCTGAAGCCTGGAGATGAGGTTGAAGTGCTTTAGCCTGTGATCTTGCAGAACTACCCTTATCCTTTGATGCCTTCTTGACTCCTTCTATCTTATTCCCAAGGGGACCTTTGCCAGAATTGTTTTGCATTTGGATCTTGCCCTTGTTCTGCTCTGGGATGTACTTATCTTGGGGTGTCAAGTAATTTGGGGAAATGCAAATTTCGGGGACTTTGTTTGTGACTCCTTGGAGTGGTTTTTCAGATATCTGAAGTTCTCTAGCGGATTGAGATCTATGTGCTTTCTGAGGAACCTTGTTTTCTCTAGAGGTTGGACTTTTAATGGCTTGTGCAGGCAATTTACCAAGAGCATTTGGCCGCTTCTGGACCTAGGAGTCAAAGTCAAAGTCAGAAGACAGTAAGTAGAAGTGCAACAAGCATCATTATAATATATTCGTTTTTTCATTAGAGGAATCTCTTGCATAAATCATTATACTATCTTATTTGGTAAACAAAAGAACAAGCACGATTTTCTATATCCTGCCTTGCTGGTTTCCACTTACCTCCTTAGCCCAGGCAGGCTTGTCATTAGGATTACTGGCATCCTTGAAGTGGTAAAGCTGTTTCTTCTCCGCTTGCCTTCCCTCCTGCTGCTGTTGTTGCTGTTGGTGTAGAGACACCAGGTAGGCTCTCTCCTGCTGGAGCTTCATCTGTAGAAGTTCTGCCTGCCGCTGCTCCGCGATCTGTTTACGCTTGTACTCCTAGTAAGAGAAAAGAAGAATGAAAGGGATGATATGCTGGTAATAGGCTAAAAGACAATGTGGTGTAAAATTCTACATTTCTGATGGGAACATAGGAGATAAAGAGCAGCACATAGTAAGCACTAAAACAGGTCAAAGTTATCATGGTGACATGGAGCCTTAGTCTTTACAGTTGCTGTCAGAAGTTTAAATATCCTCCTTAATCCGAAAAATCTCAATATATTGAACCAAAACAGGTTGCATCAAACATGAAGGTGCGACAATCATTCTGAGTATCTGTTTGTCCGCAAGTGCATTGGAGCATTGGCTGAATTAATAAAAGAATGCCTGCCCCTAATTTGTTATAACTTGCTTCAAATCAGCGGCTGAGTAGGCATTTGTCCTCCTGCAGGCAGATACTAAGACTGTGAAATTCAAATAACTCAAATAGAGCGTTGTCTCATTACGTACAGTAGACAAACTGAAACATTCCTCTTATGTATTTTCAGTTTATTTCTGTGTACTACATGGAAAGTCTAAGCTGATGTCTGCAAAATGTTATAATGGGAAAATTAAAAGAGCAAAGTCTCTTGATCCTGGATGGTTGATAAATAAATACAACTGGACAATGGTACAGCAAAAAAATCATCCGAACACATGCATTTAATCTAACAGGTTAAAGAACAGCCCTAGCCCCAAATCTATATAGAAATAATGGATGATGTTTTAAATCAAGGTCCACCAATAAGGTTTATGAACTTTTGTTCACAATTTGTAGTTTTGCAGCTGTTGATAAAGAAGTGTGATTTCTTAGTGGGGAATGTGGAGATATAAATATAAATCCAAATAAATGTAAAAACTATATATATATATATATATATATATATAAATGTATATACTGTATAAATATATATATATTGTATATATACTTGCTTTTAATCTGTTTTTGTGGTCCAATTGTTTTATTAGTTTTATAAATATTTTGTGTTTTATTCTTCTTTTACTTTGAATTGTCCATGTTCTGAATTGCGCAATACAGGCCTTGCCTTGCTTTAAAACATGAATGAACTGATTTACATTTTAAAAAGTTTAAAGTAATTCAGCTTTACGTTTTCATTTTTTTTATTTTAAAGCACACTAACTTTGTCTTTAAACTGTATGTATGTAGTGATAGATAAGTCTTGATAGTTTTGTTTATTCAAAAAGTTGACAATAATGTTTTTTACAGTTTATAATAATGGGTTAAAGATAACCCAGATAAGCAAACAACTCAGTGATTAATGGTGAAACAGAAGGACGCCTGAGGGTTGAGAGTATAGAGAGAATAAAAGGTGAGATTCTGGTGCATGGGATCAGTTTTTGCTCAAGACGTTTAAGCTGTTATTTCCTAAAGAATACAGAATAATCAATATAACTTAAATAAAGCTAAGAGTGTTTAAACAGTAAATTACATAATTTTAAACATCAGTCTTCAATTATCTGTTTGTTCCTTTGAGATCCAAATAACTTTTTACACCTCAACATGTAATAACCGATTCCATAACTCCAAAAGCTAAAATTCCATCGGCTTTTCCACACATTTGCAGTTACGAGGTTGAAAGGCTCAGAGGGGGATTCAGCTGTCCCTCAGGTGCATGCAGCAGGGATGGGGACCACACGCCACAGATGAGGAGCAGTGAGGAGAGACTGTAGTTTACCAGTAATAAAGCCTGTTCCTGTAGGAGCTGCTGCTGGAGAATCTCTAACTGCCTCTGTTCCTCCTCCAGCTGTCTACGAATATATTCCTGAGCAGCATGTTGACAAAGGGAGAAAAACAGACAGAGAAAATCTGAAAAAAACCCTCACAAACAGATAGAGAAGGAAAGACTGAGAGAGAAAGGAAAAAAAGAACAGATAATGTCCTCAGGTGCCGGCTGAGATAAACAAGTGAAACTAGATGAAGCAAGGAAGAAGCCTTGAAAAACCTGCAATAAAACCAAAAAAGTAAAGAGGAAGACAGATAATAGAAGATATATTTTCAAATCAGAAGGAAAGCGCAAGATTGGCAATAAAAAATTCATATGCAGTAGAAAACAGAAATAGATAAAAGAAGTTTGCAGAAAGGACAGGTGTTGTATTCAATAAGTTTATATGCAGTACCTAGCAAAAGTATTCAAACATATTTATTTAATCAACCACCTAATTTACTACTACAACTTTATGTGATAGATCAAAGCAAAGCAATGACAAATTGTAAACCTAATATTTTACTGATCAACTGAAAGTGAGGAATTTCAAAAGACTTGCATGCATTTGTATTCAGCTCCTTTAAATGTTTTTTTGTTCATAAAATTTGATCAAAACATTTGGCCTCTGTGACTGAGTGACAAGGAAGAAAGACACTCTCCTATTTATGCGTTTGCCACAATCTACACAGGAGAGACAGCAAACATGGAAAAGAAGATGCTCTGGTTTGATGACGACAAAATAAAACTCTGCCCAATATGCAAGAAAGTATTTAAGATAGAAAACAGACCCCAAAGATTAGTCTAAACACATGATCAACATGATGAACGCCTTATATCTTTCATTTCTCAGGCCAGGCTAGGTCAGACCAAGCCAGGATAACAGTCATGTAAGATGGGAGGATGTACACAATTTACCCAAGGCAATCCTGGAAAAAGCCAATTGGAAATCAGTCGATACTTTCAGATTTCACCATGGGTTCACATTCCCTTCCCTTCCTAACCCTAAACATGCACCTAGAGCTACAATGGTTTTAGATCAGATAACATTTATTTTCAAATATCCCAGTTAAAGTCAAGGCCTAAATGCAGCTAAGTATCATTTTCACATATGATCTCTTTAGTTGTAAAATATAATGTGCAAACATTTCAATCTCTGCAAACCTTGTAGAAAAACATCACAAAAATGTGCAGCTATAACTCAAGTGTAAGGCGGATCTACACAGTGAGACTAGGGAACTGAATAAAAAAGTATACCCACTTTTTAAAATATTTTTTGTAAGGGATGTTATAGCTCATTACATTAGCCCCTTTACAGTTTATTGCTACCACCAAACGATGACATATATTACAGTTAATGCTTAACATGGCATAACATAACTGCAATGGTTGAAACAATTTGATTCAGACACATTTGTGCAAACTGTTGCATTTCCTCCAATATCAGCATGACGACACTCTGCCCCTCCACAGCTTCTTACCCAACCAAAAGAATAAGTTTTAAACTCAGCTAACATGGGAATTCAATGCAGAAGAAAACCATCTTTGACCACCAAACACAAAGATATTGCTTTAATCTACTCTCTACAAATAGGGCAAAAAAATGAATTCCAAATGATGCCATGCAACATCTGATGTCTTTATCTCATCCTAAACAGTGAATAAATAGGATTAAAAAAAAGCAGTGTGCCACCCTAATCAATTATCAGTTTCATCATAAAGACATTTTATGGCTAACGAGGCTAATAATAAAGATTATGGTGGAGCCAGACTAAAGCTAACAATTAGAGCAGAAAAAAGTTGGAATCCAGTGCAACCGAGTTCATCTGTAGAGAAGATGAAGAAAAAGATAGAACCTGCATGACTGCTTTATACAGTACATTTCAAATTTTAGAATCATGACAAGTCTTCCAAAATCCTATTGGTTTTCTATAGCAGATTTATGAGGCGCAAAGATCTCTGTGTTGGATGAATAATACATTATTGATACATTAAACTCAAGCCAACAATTTTTCGAATCTGTCAAAAGAGCTAACTGAGATTTAAACAAATAAATGAATGAATAGAAATATGAACCTGTTCTCTGGCAGCTTGCCTCCTCTCCTCCTCCCTGCGGATCTTCTCCATTTCCTCAAAGCGGCGTTTCTCCTGCTGCTTCCTCAGCTCATGGTCTCTCTTCTGTTGCTGTTGACACAGAGGAGATCCACGTAAAGGTTTAGAAACTCAAATTAATGACCTAAGTGACTGAGGAAGGAAGGAAGGAAGGAAGGAAGGAAGGAAGGAAGGAAGGAAGGAAGGAAGGAAGGAAGGAAGGAAGGAAGGAAGGAAGGAAGGAAGGAAGGAAGGAAGGAAGGAAGGAAGGAAGGAAGGAAGGAAGGAAGGAGGGAAGGAAGGAAGGAAGGAAGGAAGGAAGGAAGGTTAGCTTAGCTGCGTGTTGGGAGGCAAACCTTGGTGAAATCCACAGAGAGCAAAAAGACTATGGGTTCAGTATTTAGCGGCCATAATCCTGCTCTCTGGAACTAAAGGGCAGACGTGGGTGAAAAGACTGTCTGTGCCTTTTTATTCATTTTTTCCTTACCAAAATGAGCTAATTTGCAAGTTTTTACACTCAGGATGAGAATAAAGGACTTTATTTCAAGCACTTCAGCTTGAGGGATTAAAGAAATAAATCATTTTTGCAGCAGAAAAAATTTATCAATTTGTCCTCTTGTTCTGGTCCGTCTTACCTCTTCCAACCGCCTCCTCTGCTCCTTCTGCTCTTCAATGCGCTTCTGTCTCTCAGCCAGCAGCAAGCGTTTGTGCTCATCGTTCTGCTTCTGCTCCAGCTGCTGCCGCCGCTGTGCCTCCGAGCGCTCCTTGTTGGCCTGCTGAAGGCGCAAGAAATCTCGCCTCAGAGTTGACTCCCCCGGGACGTTGATGATGGAGCTAAGAAGGCAGTAAAATTTCAAGTCAGTAAAAAGAGATGCTAAATGTGTGGTGGGTAAAAATGCACAGATGGTTTTGTAAAACAGTGGATTTGAGGAAAAGGCTGACCTTGGTTCACCCTTTTCCCTTTCTTCATCTTCCTCTTCGCTGCCACTGTACTCATACTCTGTCTCATCTTATGAGGAAAAAAAGGAGGGAGCAGGAATAAAATATTGATAACTACATTACTTTCTCTTTTACTTAATAAACAACATATTTCTTCATCTTAACAGGATTTTCTTTATGTAAAACACATTGAAATAACATTGGGTATGACAAGGCATTACATAAACTGGATTAAATTAAAATATACAAATTAAATAAAAATTAAATTTACAGAAGAGCCACACAAAGAACATATTTGTTGAAAGTAAACTAAAATAAGTCCCATAAACAGTTTGCAGTCCAATCTGTTGAAAACCAAAAAAGCTGGTCAGAAAAGTTGGCCAGAGTCAAGGGGAAGATATTTAATGCTAAGGAAAATTATTTTACTGTAATGAACATTTAGAGACTGTAAAGAGTTGAAAAATAGAAGTTCAATGCAGAAAAAGTTGTATTTAAAAAAAAAAAAAATTTGGATAAAGTTTGAGATTCTGCTAACCAGAGCTATCTCTATAGTTTTGCTGCTATAGGCCTAAAATGCTGGAGGACATAGGGACCGCTTTTTCATTATTCTGCTTCATTCTATCCTTATTCTCCCCTTTTGCAGTATTTGTTAGTTCAATCTATAACGTTATGCTCTCTGCTCTGTTCCTGTGTGGTTGTTACACCGTCTGTGCTGCTGCCATCAACACCTCTGTTATAGGCATTGGAGCTTGGCCTGTTTTTCAGTGGAACTAGTCGATAGTTGTCTTTAGTGTCTCTGCTTCTTTCTGTGTCTCTGCTTCTGTCTTCTTGAACCCCTGTCGGCCTCGGCAGATGGGGGCTCAGACTGAACCTGGTTCTGCTGGAGGTTCTTCCTGTTAAAAGGGAGATTTTTTTCTCCACTGTCACCGCAAGCATGTTTGGTGTGAGGGATTGCCTTCGAATCAATGAGTCAATGCATCAAATGGTTTTCATTATATAGAAAACTTTGAATCAATTTGACAGTATAATCTGGTTGAAATGTCTCTGTAGAGTACCTTGAGATGACATGTGTTTTGAATTGGAGCTAGATAAATAAACCAAATTTAATTGAGCTATTTTGCATCAAAAGAATTAAAAAAAACATTTCATTTCCAGATGTGTAAAGCTGGTAGAGATACATATCTGGAGTATTTAGATAATAATACAATTAACATTCAAGTTCATAGGTGTGCGATACTTTGTGGTGCTCCAAAGCAGACCAATATAGAGAGGTTGACTTTTTCGATTGTAATGTAAAGAGTCGTTGAAAATACCAAAGAATTTAAAATCCTTTGGAAGAAACTATAGGTAAGTGAGAAAAGCTAATAACCAACAGAGAGGAAAACCATTTTGTTTCGTGTCATAAATGTTCCACATGAATTACCCCTGCTCATTACCGACATTGGAATTCACACATCCTGGTTCGTCCAAGGCATTTTCTTTGAGCGGCTTTGAATAAAATTGCAAATTGCAGTTTTACTGGGTGTAGTGAGGTGGAGAACATTAGCTCGAGAGCTCTTTTAGTGAAAAGGCATTTAAAGCCATAATGCCTGAAGAAAGTGGCAAGCTCTTCCTCACACAGATCAACAGATCAAGCTGCAGAAATGTACTGTCTTCACAGTGACAGGACGGTTTTATACAGCCTCCCAGTGACATGTCCCCCCTTGGATCCGTTAAGGTGGTGTTTTTTTCCCTACAGTACAATGAGGTTCTGTCTATCCTCATCATGATGTCTTTGTGTCAAGCAAGCTTCTAAAAGAGGTCTATCACTTTTATTTTTTGGAGCAAACCAAGAATGAGAGAGCTTTATCAAAAACTATAAATTGTCTTCTAAAGAACACCTTGTAACACGCAGCAGGCTTTGGTTTATTATCCTCCTGAAATGTATTTCCTTTTGGCAACGCCTCTGCATACTGGCAGAATGACTGTCAAAAAAAAACTAAAAAAAACTGGCATTCGAAGCAACATATAAAAAATACTTCTTGCTATTACCCATGCAGGTTTTTGTCCATCTCATATCAAAATACAGGTTGAAATTAAGCAAAGTACTTGCCTTAGTGGGTTTCTTTTTTAGGTGTAATGACGTGAATAAAATCCTGTGTTATACAGTCTACTTATCTACTTTAATATCCTCTGGGATTAAAAATAACAACTATGGGCACATGTTGGAATCTTTTCTATGTTTTTGTAATGCACACAAGTCTAAAAGTCTTTAGATTTTCCCACTAATTTTTCTAAAATCCAAATTTACCATCATTCACTACAATAACCGGCGCAAATTTTCCCATGTCGGTAAATTTGGTAAATAAGTCGGTGAATAATTCTGCCCGTTTTGCCTGTGTGCACTGGTGGCTGGTATTTCTTTCCCCTTTAAGACACTGCAGCAAGTGGGGAATTACATGACTCCACCTATCCAGTCAGAAGCTTAAACAAAGAGAATGGCGTATCCGCGCAGCGAAGAAGCATCTAACACAGCTGTAAACTAAATTACATCAATTAATCCTGTGGAGCCGTGCACGAGTAGCGATGAAGCTGGCAGACTTGTTTTGAGTAAAGGTGTGCGAGTTAAAACGATGCACTTTGTTCTCAGTGAACACTCAGTTCAGTGGCACCAAAATTACGCCATAGATAGAAAAGAACACAAAATACAATTTGCTGGAAAACTGTCTGGACTAGCCACAGTAACACATCCAACCTTCCCCACCTACAGCACAAACACGCTGTTGAGTTCACAGATGTGCACAAGGCTCCATTACCTTTGGGAAAAAATATTTGCAAGAGAGGTAACATTTTTTTCCGGTTCAATGAGCTGCTCAATGTCTAAACTTAAATGGGTACAGAAGTTTAATATCTAACTAAAAGTAATATGTAATGTGATTTATTCAATAAAATAAAATATAAATAGATTAGTTGTATTTCCTGCACATGCCTTTATTTCTGATAGGGGAGTCGTAGCATTTATCGTGCATTTATGGTTATCGAGGTATTTATAGTGATATTGATTTGAGGTCATATCGCCCAGCCCTACTTAAAACCTTACTTTGTCTCTAAGCTTGGGCTTGGACTCTGAAAAAAAACAACAAAACTGGACTTTGAATAAATGAAGCAGAATAAAATTATAGCTCGCTCATTTATTTTTATCAGAACTCTGCCAGTTCTAAAATTAATACAGTCAAAAATCTAGAATGAAATAATGTCAAAAGGCTGCTGATAGCTTCAGAATATGTAGTTTATCAATTGCTAAGAAAAATGTATCTAAGCATTTGTGAAAAATCTACACCTAGCCCATCTTTTACAGGCCGTTTTTATCAGACCTCGTGTAATCAATTCAGAATAATGTTTCAGATGCATAATTTAAGGAGCCAAATGACCTTTACATTTATGCTCAAGATGCCTGCAATCAGTTTTCAAACAAAGCTGTAATATTCTTCTCACTATCAGCCACTAACTACTTTATGAAACCTCTTAAAATCAATTCCCAAGCTGAAACAGCAGTCTCTCCTCACCCCTCTCTCCTCTCTTCTTCTTCGTGCGGTCGATGTGGTCCTTCAGCTGGATGCGCAGGTGTCTCTCATTGGGAAGCTCTGCGATAAAGGCATGGGAGAGGAGTTGCTCTGTGCTGGGCCTCTGGGTGTGGTTCTTCACCAGAGTGCTTTCAATAAATGACTGGAACTTCCGTGACCTAAAATCCAACATAAATCTGAGAGTAAGTAAAAACCCCTTTTTTAGAGCAGCAAGGCTAACTGTATTGTATGCATAAACTAGTAAATGGATTTGCTTTGGTAAATGTCACAATTCATACTCACCACTTCTTTGATTTGAGTCTGGGAGCTGGATTACGTGGAATGAGGAAAAGTGCTCTCATCGGGTGCATATCACACAGCGCTAAAAATTGGATTACATATAAGGGAAAGTGAGCATGACACAACTGTTTACAGACTTTCAATCAAATAAAGAACTTATGTAGTTCCACACTTTATGTATGTAATACCATCATTTACTTTTAAATTTCTTTTCAACTTTAGACAGTTGACCATTTCTACTCTGTTTTAATGGCAGAGTAAATAATTCTGCGAAGCATTTCTAATCACATCAACATGTGACTAATGGCATACGTTAGGCCAGGATACACAAGGAGGTGCATTGTTAGTAGACATTTCCCAATCAATACCTTTTTTAATTACTGGTGTAAAAAAATACTGTTTCTAGTAACAACAAATGGTTAATAGCATTTCATGTCTGCCAGGTCTCCAGATAATCTGCCTAAAGACTAAAACTATATTTGAAAATAATGATGAAAAAAAAGCTAAATGTTCTTAAGAACTTGATATTCATTCTGATACATATTTTAAATTTCTCTCATTATGTATGCCAAATTAAGTAATTATTCAGTAATTTATTCCCAACAGATTTTGGTAATTAAAAACGTAGTAAATCATGAGTGTATGAAATACAGAAGTATATTATAAAAAAGGTGGCTTAAATGCTCATGCTTCTGTTCTATATTTTCCTGTGTGTTGGTTTACGAATCTAAATCCAAATAATAAATAAATCATATTTTAAGTTCTATTATAATCACATAGTTGTGGTTGAACATTTACATAACCTTCCATTAAAGACAGAAAAAAATTAGCTGCCAGTAGAATAAATTAAAGTTTTCAAAATTATTAAATTAAAATGTTAAAAAATGGAAATCAGGACATTGATTTTGAATCTGAAGTGCAAATGACATTAACAAATCTTTAAACACAACTACAAATGAAAAAAAACATGAAAATGTTTTTGCAAATGTTGTGCTTTTGCAAATAATGTGTTTTTGAATTTGTAGTTGTGTTCAAAGATTTGTTAATGTGTTTGGACATTAGGGCCACCGTATTTATAACCGCATTGGCACATAAACAGGAGGGAAATAACGTGAATATACGAACCCTGCATCAGACTGCCATCAGTTCATCAAGGCAGCTGAGCAAAGTGCTGCCAAATCAGTGACTTTGTTGCTATATTTAGCAACATTTCAGACTTTTTTTTCTTTTAAACAACTAGCAACAAAACCTAGCAACTACTTCCTGTCTTGTAGGAGACTTTAGTAACAAAACATGCACTGATCTGAGTTTAGTGTCTTCTTTGAGGAGTGAGTGAGCGAGCCCCTCTGTTCCTGCACCCAGAGGAAGAAGAGCGACTCTCTTGTTTCCCCACTGAACATCATCCACACATTACAGTAGCAAAGCTTCCACTAATCCCCCCAAATTAAAAAGTGGGATGTAAATATAATATTTCATGCTTTTTTGTCTATGAACCTATAGATCCTCCCTGCATTCAATTCATACACACAATTTCTAGTCCATTTTCTTTAATGGGAGGATATTTAATATTTTAAGCACAACTTTATATAATACTACAGCAGTTCATGTATAAAAATCCCTTTATATTTGAGGAAAAGTGAGTAATAATTGTTGTTGTTTTTTCTTCTATAAAGAAGATGTCATTTATGTCATGCTACTACTCTGCATACTGCTATTATCGTTAGAACAAAAAGTTTTCCTGGAAGAAACTGTTTTGTGCAGAATATCTACTGTGAAGATAAACAGATCTTATCTTCAATGACTAAGTTATTTATTGGGGCCAAAATGTCATGTCTGGGACATCCCTAATCTTCACCACACTAAGCAAATGCTGTCTGCAATATCCACCCCTGTGTATGAGTGCCCTTTAAGAATGAGATCATAAATAAAAAACAGATAGAACAGACATCATCCCAGAAATCCGACATCTTAGTCTTTTCCATCAATAGTTTTATGCTTTTGAACAAAAATGTTTAACCTCTTGATTAAACAAAAAAACTACTGAAGCTGTAAGCAAATAACAGCAGCAGACATGAGGGGTATTAATCAGATACTTACGTGGTGCTCCCTCAGCCATTTCTATTGCTGTGATTCCCAGAGACCATAAATCACTCTGCAATGAATCAAGAAGAAATACTCAAATACTCAATGCTTTCTTCTTCTTCTTTTTATTTATTTATTTATTTATTTATTTTTATTGTACTCCTTACGTAAAATACACATTTCAAAAAGTATTTAGAAAAAAAAACAGAGTGGTGTCAGGGGAGTGCAGTTTGGACGATTTACCTTGCAGTCATAGGTGGCTTCAGGGTTTTCATCACAGGCAATAACCTCTGGCGCCATCCAGTATGGTGTCCCAATAAATGTATTCCTTTTTCCCACTGTTCTGTCCATCTGGGCAGAAACTCCAAAGTCCACTACAAACACACAGACAAACTCAATACAAGATTCCAAATCTCTCTGCAGAACACAACCAGCAATATGTCAGCAAATCTAAAAATAAACCGTGCAAAGATAAATAAATAACTCCTTCTCTGAACCATGTGGGAAAAGGCAGAGAGATTCCCTTCTTTAGAATTTTGCATCTTGAGCAGCACAGCGACCACAAACATCACTAAGCTGGTAGCATAAAAGCAGAACTAAGAGACACTAAATAACACAACCATGAAACCTCATGCACCCCCCACACATATCCACATACCAAAAAGCTGTTTTATAAAGTAGGGGTTGACTAGCTCACCTAGTTTGACCTCTGCATTCTCTGTCAGCAGCACGTTCTGTCCTTTGATGTCTCTGTGTATGACCTTGTGCTGATGGAGATGAGCTAGACCCTGCAGACAAAGACAGATATGAGCCATACAGGAAACTGAGCCAAGCTGTGATTATCATTCAAGAAAGAGCTCAGAGCTAAACAGGAAAGTGTCCTTCAGTAGCAGCTTCTGTGATGCCACTGAGCAGCTGACCAGGACCTCTGACCTGCTTGTGATTATAAAGAGAAATAGTGTATGTGTCAGGATTATGTGTCAATATGTCTCAAAGGAAGGAAAAATAAATACATTTATATAAACTGTAGAAAGATGGAAAAATTTGAAGGGCTCAGTCATCCTTTCTAGCAAAATATTCACACACCTTGAACATTTTTGCCTTTTTGTCATGTTATGACCCCTACAATGTGGTTTAGTTGGATCTTGTGATAAACAAACACAAAGTTGTGCATATTTGTGGGAGGAAGGCAATATATACATTTAGGCTTCATAAAATTAGCAGAGAACATTTCCATCAGCTCTTTAGTCTTACTGTAGTTTCTTAACTAAGGTAAAACATCTTTGCAGCTTTGACTTTGATATTCTAGTACATAAAAAAAGAAAACCGTCTTGTTTTGGCTTTGATTTAATTAAGGGTCACAGTCCTGTTGGAGAGCAAACCTCTGCCTCTGTCTTTTGCAGCTTTCAACATGTTTCTACTCTGAATTGCCCTGAAATCTCCACAAGTTGTCAAAAAATTTACAACCAATTCTGATATTGTTGAGGAAAAAAACAAATAAACATGCATTTCTTCACCATATTTCAAACAGGAGATGGTGGATTAAGGTTAATCGACATCTTTTTGTTTGTTTGTTTGTTTTTCTGCCACCTTAAGATTTTTTTTAGGTAGGACAAAAACACCTGGTCTGGTCTCATCTGACCACCTTTTTCCACATTGCCATGTTGCAAATAAGAGGACATAAACTAAACACAAGGAGGCATAATTTGTTTTTATGCTTCCCTGCAGACCAAATGACTGAAAATATTTTATTCTATTTCATGAACCCCTGTAGTCAGGGAACACTTATTCTGTATTTTTAAATCAGTTTTGAGGAGTTATAGCTGTTTTTATTTCTTTTTATATTTGTATTTTTCATTCTAGAATGCTTACTGTTTGGTTTTAAGTAGACAATTTTAACATCTTTCCAGGGACAACAGATGAAAAATAGCCTTTTGGCTAACTCTAGTGCATTTGCAGGAATGCTTTTTAATGTACAATGTCCCTGTCAAAAAAAATAATAAATTAAAATAAAATGCATGGTCAACATGTATTTTATTTGTTTATGTTTTCATGCCCTCATATGTTGTTTGTCTTTTTGATTCTTTGTGCATTTAAATATTACTCAAACTCGTTCCAAATTCTAATAGTAAAAAAAATGCTGAAAGAAATTTTTCTGCAACTTTAAAATGATCTGCTACTTTACTTTGGTCAAATTTGAAAACAACTTCAAGGGATTTGAAGACTTTCACACAAGCCTACAGGAAGCAAAAAGCATCAGTGGCAGTGGATGCAGGATATGATAACAGCTGATGGAACATTTGTCACCAATGCACCCCAGTGCACTACATATGAAGCCTTAGTGATAAGACCTTTGATAAGATATAGGAGATAATGAACAATTTCCTTAGAGTTCATGTTACCAGAGATATGATAGAGTGCTTGGCAGTGACTGAAATTTGAGAACAACTACATTATAAAATAACACTGATTCTTCCCAAGGTAGAGAAAGGTGCTTGTTTATAACTCAGAAAAAAACAATATGATGTGATTTGGATCTCGGAGCTCACCCTGAGGATCTCTCTGCAGATGTAAGCATTCCAGTCCTCTTTCAGCGAGTTTCCTTTGGTGTTCTTGATCAAGTCTGTCACCGAGCCAGCGCCACAGAACTCCATAACCAACTACAAGTAAACACACAAAGCAATGTGTTTTTTTTTTTTTCATATGTTTGCTCCACAGAAGAAGACAAAACAAACAATGTTTTTTCTAGAATTGTCCCAGATCACATCTGTAAAGAATCTTTAGGGGAGGCCAAAACCAAGGAACATAAAATCACTTCTATTCACATATTTTAGCAGAAATATAATGAAAACAATTTCCTTTTATTAACTTGAAACAATACTAGTTGCAAAATGACAACATTATAAAAAAGGTTTGGTGATAATGTGCTACACATTGACAAACATTGAATTGACAATTACCAATTGACATTGGAAATATATCATGTTGAATAAACAGATGCAAGCTGTTGATAAGACATTTCAAGCTTGATAAATAACCTGACTGGCTGTGGTTGGACCTGTCATGTTTTATATGTTCACACAGGTCTTTTGTGGTTTTCTCTAACAGAGCAGACACGTGCTAGGTGGTTTTATGTTTGTCAAAGTGTGCAAGAAAGCTTGGCTCTTCAGGCTGTCACAGTTCCAGCTGCATCCCTTTACATAACTATGACACTACAGCATTACTTAATGATATGTCCATAGCTGGTGGATGAATAAAATGAACAGGTGGTCATAATTCGCTAAGTGCCGTTCTATAAAGATCTTTTATTATCCTTATTTGGCCATTCTGTACTTTTGCTAATGGTTTCATTCAACACAGCTCACATGCTGTGTGTCTGATTGAAAAAAAAAACACTTCTGAACATCTTGCTTCTCTGCAAACTCCATGAGGCTAAAATAAACTACATGCATAAACAGAGTGGACTTATAAACTCAGATATAGTAATGCGGCGTTACTAACCCTAACGCAAACATCAAAAGCCTGTTTTGTAATGGAGGTTTGAGTAATCAAGGAATAAAAAAAAACTGATTTTTTAAAAGTTCTACTTTTTATATCATCGTTAAGTTCTTTAAATTAGTGGTCGAGGGAAAGAGTGACTGCAACGACCTACAGCTCCACTGAGGAAAGAATAATTTATCTCTGCCTGTCCCCTACCTGTTGCTGTGCAGTGAGGGTTAGATGCTTAATGTTGGGAAAGATTTCAACTTGCAAAATAAAAACCCAGAGCTGGGTAGAAACTAACAAAAGGAGAATTGATCAAGTAAAGTGAATTTTACTAACTTAAGCTTTAAAAAAAAAATACAGCAAGTTACAAACATCTGACTGCAAGCTAGCCACCCAGGTTGATAGGCTGACTACAGTAATATACAAGAGGCAGTGTGTATAAGAAGTTCATGTTGGCTAAAGTAACTATATTAAATGACATTTAGTAAATAAAACTGTTTAATTCATGAAACATTGGTATTGTAAATTTATATTTGAAACTAAAAATATAAAAAAGGAGCTAAAGCAATTTTATAGGGGTATTATATCACTCTATCCTAAGAAGGACTCAAACATGTACCCCTTTCACTTTCTGTGATTTCATCTCTGCACTGCATCCATGGAGACTGGTGAACCAGAGTTCAGCCTGTGAGTTCTGGCTCTGCTTTAAGACCCCCTCTTATCAGCTCTCTCTTTAGAGGAGGAGAAGCAGTTGGTGTGAGGCTGCAAACCCGCTCTTGCCCAGTCAATGGGCTTTTACCAAGACACAAAAGCAACACACTCACTCAGGTATAAACAGATCACACCTACATGTAAAACCAACACTTACACACACTTGTGAATGCTATAATTGAAAATGGAAGATGTTAGTACAGGTAGAGAAATATACAGGGAGGACTTTTGCCTCCTTTAATATGAACTTATTTGTCTGTTGTTGCATTTGGGCTAACACTGTAGTGAGAAAATACATTCGGACCTTATTAAGAAAAGCTACTTAATAGATCATGTTTATAGCTGTGATAATAAATAAATATAAATAAGGACATAAGTGGCACGGTGGGAAGCGCTGCTGTCTTGCAGCAAGAAGGTTCTGGGTTCGATTCCTGGCCCAGGGTCTTTCTGCATGGGTTTGCATGTTCTCCCTGTGCACACCTGGGTTTTTCTCCAGGTACTTTGGGCTTCCTCCCACAGCCCAAAAGCATGACTGTTAGGATAATTGGCTTCTCTAAATTCTCTTTTGTGTGTGCGTGAATAGTTGTTTGTCCTGTCTTTCCGCTGTGTTGCCCTGTGAAAGACTGGCGACCCGTCAAGGGTATACCCCACCTAAGCCCAGTGTTAGCCGGAGGTAGGGCCCAGCAGCTCTTAAAACAAGAGCAGGGATAAGCATGACAGGAAATGGAAGGAAGGAAGGAAGGAAGGAAGGAAGGAAGGAAGGAAGGAAGGAAGGAAGGAAGGAAGGAAGGAAGGAAGGAAGGAAGGAAGGAAGGAAGGAAGGAAGGAAGGAAGGAAGGAAGGAAGGAAGGAAGGAAGGAAGGAAGGAAGGAATAGAAACATACTGTAGAAACATTCAAAGACTCACTTGTATTTGTTGGGGTGAGTGATGAAAATTTGTATATTATTCTAAGACAATCAGAACCTTTAACTTGTACACAATTTATTTCAGTGGAAATGGAGGGGGTCCATTAGCTTTTTTTCTGATTTTAAAAATCACAGCTATCTTGCCAGGTCAGCCAGGCCAACAATGGCTCTTAACAACTGCCTCTTCAGAGGAATGGTTCAGTATTGGGTATTGAAGGCCAATAACTACCTCAACAGCTCCCATTATCAAGGGGTGGAGCTGGTTTTCCAATTTCAATATGCATGTTTTCTGAGCCATTACAAGGCTTTTGTTGGGCTACTCTATAGAAGCTTTGAACTTAATGCTAATCCAGACATTTTGAATTGAGAAAGCTTCCTGGATGGGAATGGAAACATTTTCAAACTTGGAAACCAAAGTCCAGCGGTTTGTATTTTAACTTTAACTTTTTGGAATGACTATGACCTGGATGACTAAGAATCTCCACCATCATGGATTATGAGTAACTGGCTTAATGAAAAACAGTAGCCTCAATGGCAAATGTTTTAATTGCACTAAATGCTTCACATTCAATAGCAATTTTTAAGCAAGGCTTTAACCAGAGCTTAGCTGTGACAGTTCTGTCTGTATCATAAATGGGACCTTATCTTCTGTTTACGGCAAATGTAAAACTCTTACAGGTAATAATGTAACTGTGCAATGATTAATGTTCATGACCTTTTAACACTTCTATAGAAGTAGCTTTTCAAAGAAGTTGCATAAAATATCAGGGGTTTTTAAATAAAGCTAAAGGAATAACTTTAAACCAATCTAATTGTTGAAATAATAAATTAAATACAAAATCTATATGTGCTGCTGTGTTTATATGGTTATTTATTCAATAATTGAGGAGCGAAAATTGCAGTTGGTTTATTTGGTCGATATGGCTTTCAATTAAAATGCGATTAACTACAGACCCTGTAATGTACTTGATAAAAATTCAATCATGTCTAAAAACTATCCAAAAAAAATTTGTCTGTATGCTTTGTCTTCCTGAAATCCAATTATTGATGATTATTGTCTACGTGGGGAAAAAGGAGTATACAACATACACTTTTGGTTTTGTAAAAAACTGCTTGTATGTGGGATTTTTTTAAACGAAGTGTACGGCACGTGATTTAAAGGATGGGTTTCTCTGCTATTTTCAGTTTAAGAAAATATATTAAATAACCTTATTGTAATAATTTTAAGCCAGCTTGACCAGAAATACAAAGACATTTAGAAAAATAGTGATTATAAATACATCATTCAATTCAATTTCAATTCAGTTTATTTATATAGCCCCAATTCACAACACATGTCATCTCAAGGCACTTTACAGTTCAACCAGATCCTACAGTCAAATCATCACATCAAAAACGAAGTCCTACCCAAAGCTGGTCATCGATGCCAGGAGGTTGTTTCTTGATGAACACTCCAAAGTAAGTGGCAATGTTCCTGTGGTTGCTGTACTTCTTCAGCATGTTGATTTCAGATTTGATCTCTTCCTCCTCATCCTGTAATAAGAAAAATACAACCAGGCTTTACATTTTTACCTTATTTTCTGTCCCCATACACACATTATAGGAGGTTGATAAAGCAAATGAAACAAGCTGATCTTAAATTAGCCTTCCACATCTATTGGAGATCAAAGGAAAATAAATAAAAAAAATAAAATAAAACTGAATGTTGCAAAGTGCACAGCTGGGTTCTCAATTATCCACTCTAACAACATTACTCTTTAATTACTTACACTTCCAGGGGGGATTCTGTCACAGTGCCAGGAGCTGTTGCTTGAAACAAGTCCTGATGGTGGCTAATTAGTTAAAATATTTATAGCATATTTTTAAGTTTATAAAATGTATTTTTTTTAAATGTGTGTGTTGTCTTTTGTCTAGATTTATAACAAATGGTTGTGTTTTTTTTTTTATTAAAAGAATGCATTCATCATATGTTGATCTAAGTTTCTGTTGGCATAATTAATAAGATGTCACAATAGTTACTTCCTGCACCTTTCATTATTTTGCCAGCAGCTGAGTGCTGACAGGGATGTGTGGGGTGTGAGGATGTCTAAAAATAGCAGAGGTTTCCTCCTGCTGTATAGACCCGCCTGAAACCAGAGTCTCCTCCTAATCATTTCAACTGATGTTACCATGGCAATGGGCCTGTCCTCGTTTAGTCTCCTCCACATCACACACACGCATCAGCCGTGACTCATCGCTCTTAATTAGATGACACGGCTGACTTTAATATAAAACTTTCAGATGGATTTACTAAGCATGGATATGTAGGAGTGTGTATGTGTGGGTACACGTGTCTGTGTGTGTATCTTACCGTAGCAACATCCATGACCTTGATGGCTGCCAACTGCCCCGTCCTGATATGGCGACCCTGGAAGAAATAATTAAATAAGGTAAAGAATTTAAATGTAGGAAAGCGGATGGGCAGATAAAGCAAAAAAGAGGATAAACAGTTCGGTTTGAATGATTCCCGATTTATAATAAACAAAGAAATGTTGCACTTTAGGATAAACATTGAAAATGTATTTCAAAAAGCTCAATTGTCATTGTAGTCTTAGTTTTTTTTTTTTTTTTTTACCTGGTCTTATTTTCAATTTTAAAATAAGTAGTTCAGAACAGAACAGAATAAAATAACATTTATAACATAATAAAGCATGATATACTACATTGTTTTTAAATTACAACTGATTAATCATGAGTGGAATGTCTGTTGCAGCTGACTGAAGGATCCAAACCAGCTAATATCAGTATATTGTACTTCTCCTATTTTATAAATAGCAGAATGTTTTTTTTTTTTTTAAGTATAATGTTCTGTGTATTAGGTACTAGAAAATTACTATAACAAAACCGTGATAAATGTGATATTAACATTGTTTGGATATTGAAAGAAAGACTAAAGATTACTCTTTAAAACGAATTCAGTACTAATTCAGTACTAGTATCAGAGGTCTTTCTTGCAACAATTAGACAGGAAAATAGGCAAAGATAAAGTGGGATGACATGCATAAAGATCCCAAAGTTGGGTATTGAGCCGACGAGAGCCGCTTTATCCCTACAGCATGGAATGCACCATTAATTAATTAAATTTCAACTTATACTTGGATAGAATATTATGCATTTTTGAAGTCTGGCTATGTGCTCCATCAGTCAAGCTTCAGTTAGGCCACACATAGCTAACCAAGTTCATTTAAAAAAAGCCTCAGGAGCAATGGGAGGCACTTCTTTTGTTGTAAAACTGTGGCTTCACCTGTTTTCCAGGCTGAAAATTTTTTAACATATTCCAATAAAATTTTCCCTAAAACAAAGTAATTTTATAGTAAAAAATTTTTTAGGCCAGCTGTCCTGCAGTGTGCAGTAGCATGGGTAAGAGGCAAATCCTGCAGTTAAGAAAATCTGTTCCCACTTAAGTACTTTTAACAAGCTTCTTAAAGGACTTTACTGTAGGAATGGTCTGTTGGAAAATGTTATAGCTTTAAGAACCATGTCTTTTTAAAACCTTGCTATGCATTGTTAATGTTTTTCACTCAACCTTTTTATAAATAGTTGCATACTGAGGGCCACAATAGAATCAACTAGCTTGTACTTTGGTCAATACAAAGATACTAATGTAAAATAAAAAAGAAAATGAAAGTATAAGGGACCTAAATTCCCTTTTGTCCAATAAGTTAAAGCTCCTGTTCAATAGCTCAAATCTGAAACCTGCTGGTTTACCTCCAAAAGAAAGTTTGGGTTTTATTAATATGGTCATTTTTCACCTCACATTGCAAACTAAGCACCACCGGTTGGTTGAACACTCTGATTAGCCACTCTCACACAAAGACACAGACGCACACCAAAGTCTCATAAAAACTACAGCTCGGATTCTGTGCAAATGAAAGAGCTGGAAGATTGACCTGGGATTTCTCATTAGGATCAGACTGACCCAATTCCATGGGCACAAGGACCAGCTTTGTTAAAAACCAACAAAAGAATTAGAGCCACTTACAAATCAGAAGCTCAAATACAGACAGACACACAGAAAAGAGATTTCCAATCATTCTGTTACTCTCACAGCCAGAAAAACTTAAAAGATCCAACATGCACACACAAAGAAAGCAGGATACATAGGGGACAGAATGACTGATTATGTCAGAGTCCGACCAAGTGGGACAGAGAAAAAGTGAATGTGTCAAACAGATGTGAGACACGGATATTATCTGACCAGGGTAAAAATTCATTTGTCTGAACCATCTGACAACCGTCCTCCCTTCATATCTCTTCATCTCTCCTCCAGGAGCAGTAATGTCATCCAGGCTTATTAAATGACCATTTTGAAAAGGAGGATCAGAAAGAAATTAGCACATCGTTATCTTCATTGCTGTCTTTCCCTTCTCCGTTTTAATATATTCAAATTCATAAATGAGGCTGGGGTGGCCTAAAATAGCATTTGGAAACCAGTTAATTTATCAGGATGATCTAGCAGAGTTACTAATATTCATGTCCATTGCACTTTTCAACATTTTGTCCGGATAAAACCAGAAAAACACATCAAAGTGCTGTATTTCTTGGGAATATTATGGGGTAGACAAAAAACTAAATGGTTAATAATTGTAAAGTGAAACAAAAATAAACAATATTTTAAACCGTTTTACAAAAAAGATAATCCTAAAAGTATGCCATGGATCTACAGTTACACCCCTTTGGTGTTACCCATAAAAAAGGTTTAGTGCAACCAAGTGTTTTAAGAAGTCATTCATCTGAACATAGTCGACCAGTGTGTAATTCCATGTCAAATACAAAATTTAAATACAACCAGAGCCACGTTTAAATAGCTTAGTTTGTGACAGATTTTACCAAAAATCAATATTGTGATTATTTTCAACCAATGCGAATAAGGCTATGTTTTGATTTTCTTTTGCAATAACCTCAAGAATGTAGATGTTTCCCCTGACCCAAAACAGTTGAGCTTGTATTTGTACAAAAACAAATATTGAGGTTATTCCTTTTTGATTTTGTCTACACCCTTGAATAACCGCAGTGCACTGGCATTATGGAAGTAAATCTGTGTCGCTGGGATTTGAATTAAAAATGGCACTGAAATTTAAATGTTGTATGTTTTTACTTACTGTTTCAGTGTTAAAATATATTCAGAACACATTTTTGACCTAAAAAGAAATTCATTGTCATTATTTCTACACAGTTGAAATTTCATTTATTTTCTCTTCAGGCTAAAAATTCACATTACTATTTCAAAGTGATTACATTTTCAATATTTATTTTTCAGTTTAATTTTTCAATGTTATAAAAATCTCATGCAAGCTAACGTTAACTCAACGGTGAGTTTATTACGTTCATTTTTCTGTAGTTGAGTTAGCGTTAGCTTGCATGACCGGCTCCTTCATGCTGGTTTTCCTTTAGTATGAGCGCCGCAAGCGTCACGCCACGTGACTAAGAAAACGTAACGGGATTAGCTGGGTGTTGGACACCACAATCCATTGCTAATGTCTGTGACCTGAAGTAACCCTTCCCTTTTTACACTGAATGTAGACGCCAAATTTAAGACAGTGAAATAGAGACAGTTGGATCTCAGGAGGCTGAAAATATTGAGTTTGAATTTTGAAAGGTTAAATTTTTTTATATGCTGATTTTTTTAACACTGAAAAATTAAACTGAAAAATAAGTATTGAAAATAGTCATGTGAATTTTTAGCATTGAAGAGAAAATAACAAATGAAATTTCAACTGTGTAGAAATAATGACAATGAATTTCTTTTTAGGTCAAAAATGTGTTCTGAATATATTTTAACACTGAAACAGTAAGTACCAACATACAACATTTACATTTCAGTGCCATTTTTAATTCAAATCCCAGCGACACAGATTTACTTCCATATGGCATACTGTAGACCTACAGCTGGCAATTTGCTTTTTAATACATAAAGTGCTGCTCTTTAAAATTAAAGTGTAACAAAACACATGTAATAATTGGAGCTGGAAATGTAACCTGAAATTATCCTTTGTGCTCCTTGTTATATGTAGCCGTTTTTGGGTGTGCCTGCTTCTGAGCAGTCCCTATTCCTGCACCTCTTTTTTATAAAACTTGTAAATCTGTCATCAGCTGGTTATAAGAAAAAAAAAATCAATTAAATATTGCACCATGTTTTTCAGCACTACATTAAACGGTTGCATAGCTTTGCACCTTTGAATACCTCCTCTTTGTGTTCCCGTGCCAGTAAACCTGACTGCCCGTCTTGGTGATAGAATCCCTCCCACTAAATATTTGAACTGATCACATACAAAGGATTCTGCTGATATACTTTTGTTGTTTGTCAGAGTAAAAGGATAAGAACACAATTACTTTTTTTATTTTATTTTTTTTTTCATACGCCAATATAGGTTTGGTAAAAAAAACAGAACCATGTGTGTCACATTAAAATAGGCCATCTATTAAGGTTGGCAATAAAATTGTATTAATGATGTAAGAAAAAAGGAAAGTGTAAAATCCAACGCGACCTGTCCAGTCTTTCAAATAAGAATGGCTTCAAATCACTATTATAGTTTCAATAATGAAAACTTGACATAAACTGTAGACATATATTTTTTTATGTGATTCTGTAAATAAAAAAAATGAAAGAGATACAAGCCCGACAATGATAACACAATGAATTTCACACTTTAGACTCTCATCATTATTGTGTTTTCTCATAGGAATGGCTGACTCTGATCTTTCCTATTCAGACCAATCAGCATTAGATTTCACAGGCCTGCTCATCTTTCCCTCCACTCATTCGTTGACTGTGTTGCTTCTCTGACCTAGATCTGCAGTTTCTCCCTCTTCCCTCTCTTGATTTGCACTCTCATTATCTAAACACTCTTAGCTTCTCACAGTCTCCTCTTTATGCCTCTTCCTAAGATCTCACAACGTCTCGCCTGTTTTCATCTTTCTGCTTCTCGTATTTTTCAGCTTTCGTCACTTTCGTGGCTCCAGGCATGGCATTAGTGGCCTGTGAAAAGCAGGTCCTACAAGGACATGATTGAGCTGAATGCTAATGCCAAGAGAACAGCATTCTGCTTTGAGCTCAGCGAGCAAACATGGCACGAACTGAAGGCTCCTTGCCTCCCTTTCACTTTGCCTCTAATGCATCTAAAGCGCTCTGTAAACCACAATGCACTCACATGGACCTAAGTGCGTATGCAGAGTAAAAAAAAAGAAATACCACTGTATCCCACATCCCTTCATCTAATATAATTTAAATATCATTGCTCAAAAAAATGTCCTCTCAAATTGTTTAAATATCTTCTTCCATACAGCTCTAAATATTTTGACCAAATATGACAGCAAAGGTCTCAGAGTCTTCCACAAGGAGCCGTGCTTTAGTTATAATGAGCCAAA